CCCTGCACAAATAACTTCAAAGATCTAGCATGACTAAAGATGTAATTTTGAGTACTAAGTATACTTTGCACATACAAAAAACACAATTTGGAAAGACACTATAGGCAATTATATACTGGCAATTATCAACAATTACACATCATATATCCTGGATTGAGTCCATTTAAATACATACAAATCAGTAAGTCCTGATGTGTCTTGAACACAGTGTCGTCTCGGTGGTGTAAGCCTAGTGGTTGACATGGTTAAAGCGTACGCTCATCACGCCAAAGGCCCAGGTTCGATGCCCCACATTGGTACGATCCGTGAAGCCAATTTCTGGTGTCCCCTGCCTGGATATTGGTGGAACATTGCTAAAAGCGGCATAAAACCATACTCACTCACTCGCTCCATTTTGTAGGTGCCTGTGAGGGGGTTTCTGTATGGGTGCAGGGTCTGCATGATGATGGCTGTGGTCATATCTCTGGGGGATAGACGGATGTACTTGCTTGGTCCTGTAAAGGAGCAAAATCTTGAAAGGGTTTGTCACAGCAATGTTACTAAGATATTTGATAAGGGAAAGCTTGGCATTGGAGGACTCTTGATCTAGTTCAGAGAGGTTCTTGTTGTTTCTCAGATCTTGTTACATTATGTTTCTTAATTCTTCATGACTTCAGTTGATGACTGGCCTTGAGGATGGTAGCTTTTGATGAGAGACTGACACTTCCTACCTTATTGTGAACCATACACATTGCTGCAATGAGATGTAGGGAAGGACAGACAAAGTAGCTTGTCATACCCAATGGCTACACCAACTGCGTGAGACACAGCTGACGTGATAATGATGCAAGGGGCAGGTGTACGGTTCTAGGTAGAAAGTGATACCATATTTTCTTGAGTATAGTGCACACTTTTTTTAAAAAAAACACAGCTGTGTAGAAGGGGGTGCGCATTATACACGAATTAATGAGTTTTGATATTTTTTCCCCCATGGTAAGAAATTACCGTGAGCACCTAACACCGGAAATACCATGTCAACAAATCCATACTGAAGTACGCAAATTAGTCATGTAATTACACTGTCTGGCTATAAAAAGTGTTCTTTGTATATCTGGACTTATGTTTGTAACTTATTTTATTAATTTTATTCAAAATTCCTTTTACTATTGTTTTAATTAATTTCGGCGAAATCGGAAGATCACACAACTCACCGTTGTAAACAGCAACCACGGTCAGACTACCACTATTGACGCCTTGAAACAAACTTTAGTTGACAGAGAATGGATACATATATCATAAATGCCATACTGTGACTCGTCAATAGTCATATTTGTTTTTGTTGGATGATTCTATGTCAACACTCGCGATCACGCGATCACGTGCACGGGAGCCTTGACGGTGACTGGTCAGACTGGTTCCATGTAAAAAATAATACCCGGCAATAGCGATCAGCTGCTTCGTTTAGGGTTATTATTATTTTTAATATATTTAGTAAAAGCTGCATCTAAATTAACAAGATATTGGAATATATTATTCCTAATAAAAAAATAGTTTCAGATACTATTTTTGCTGATCCTTGCATTAAAATCCTGTAAAGTTATATCATTGGGTGTGTCTTGACCGAATCACCGGTAGATTCAAAGAAAACGTGTGTACAGCTGATTGCTGTGTCGGGCTTAGTTTACGAGAAAATACACAAGGTAATCTTAATCCCTAGATATAAAACAATGCCTAGCAGAACAAAAAATACAATTTAAACAGTAAATCAACATGTCTCACTCTGGTGATTTTTTTATCTCAAATTTCGAATTTGTACTGACCAGGTTTCTCATCACCAGTTCTTTTGCCGGACTTCGCTAAAGGGGGACGGTGTAATTTTTTTTCTGCGATTGGTATTCGCAAAAAAAATTCTCCAAAATATTGATTCCGCTAGAGGGGGGTGCGCATTATACATGGGTGCGCACTATACTCAAGTAAATACGGTAACATCAGGTCATTGGCTTGGGTTGTGTACAAATTTACTTCATAGTTAATTAAACAGGTGAATATACAAGAAACGCTAAGTTCCAGGTCAGCACGTTGTGGTAGTGGTGGAGGTGTAGGTGCCCTGGAGCACCTAGCCTAAAACCTGAAACATAATTAGTTTGCTTTTTATAGATTAGCTTTCGCTTGTAAATTAGAATTAAACATTACAAGTAAATAACTCATCATGAGAATACTAGGTTCTTTTTTTTAATTATCATTTAATATACTCAACAACAAAAGTTCCTGTGACACCAATATTTTATTGTATTTTCTCAAACAATGTTTGGTTTTCAATATTGTAGTACATGTATGGAATCAAGTCACAAAAATGCAACTGCTACAGAAAAGCATGCATTCCATGCAAAAGCTGACTTTTATGCAAGCTCCATGCATTTCACTACCCAAGAATGGGTATAAAAACATGTGTGTTAACGGGATTCCATATGCATTGTTTAGCATCGTGCTGATAACAAACGCTCAAAAAGACAACATAATTACGCAATTATTCAACATTACGAAAATGCCATGCCTGTCCGACAATGAGTGTCTGTGAGCCATTGGTATACTTGAAGCAGGATCGAGTCAACGTGATGTTGCAAGACAATTTAACGTCCACAGAAACACCATTTGGTGTTTATGGCAACGTTGGCAACAGACAAATGCAGTCAGAGACCATCCTCGGAGTTGCAGGCCATGCGTAAACAATAATTGACAAGACAACTGGATTCGAACAACACACCTACGAAATCAATTCCATCCAGCAACAGTGACTGCAAGAAGCATCCCTGGCCTTCGACAAATATCTTCACAAACTGTACGTCGTTGCCTCAGATGTGCAGGGATTGTCGCCAGAAGACCCGCGGGACGTCCCATTTTGACAGGAAACCACCTTCAAGCACGTCTACAGTGGTGCAGATCAAGTCTTTGCTGGACGGCCATGACGGGACAAGTTCTATTCTCTGACGAGTCTCGTTTTCATCTCAGCCACAGCAATGGATGGATTCGAGTGTACCGACGTCGAGGTGAACGTTACGTCAATCATTGTGTCATGGAAGAAGATCGGTTCAAGGGCGGCAGCGTTATGGTATGGGGTGGGATTACAGCAAGACAGAGGACCCGTTTGATTTTGGAAATCTCAATGGACAGCGCTACCGCGACGAGATCATCAGCCCTGTTGTTCTACCGTTTTTGCGTCATCATGGCCCAGGCATTACCTTTCAACATGGCAACGCCCGGCCTCATATTTCTCGACTTGTTCATGATTCTCTTCAACAAAACAACGTGAATGTCATCCCCTGGCCGGCTCGCTCCCCTGATCTCTCACCAATGAGCACATGTGGGATGAGATGGATCGGCGCCTTCGACGTCAACCATGTGTTCCACAGACACTCCAGGAGCTTCAAAACGTGCTCCAGCAGATATGGACAGATATCCCACAGGACTTTGTGCGACACCTGGTCCATTCCATGAGACGAAGATGTGTTGCTTGCATCGCAACCAGAGGTGGACACACACACTATTGATTTGTAAATTGACATTTTGGCATGTTCATGTTTTTTTATGAAATCATACATTTTCTGAAGTCAGTATGGCAAATTAAACCATTTGAACACTTACAGGAGTCTTTTATCTGCCGCAAACTGAAATTATTTCAGATTTGGTAAAAAACATAACTTTGCATTAAATCTTATTCAATGTCACAGGAACTTTTGTTGTCAGTATAGTTGCCAAGAAACTTTGAAGATGTATTGATGGGAAAGTGAAGTATTGGATAAACAAATCTTTATCAAGCACAAAAATACAAATGATAAATTGGACTAAATCTTGCCTGGACTTATAAATATTTTATTAAACACTCTAGGATAATCTTTTGTTGAAATTTAACACGTCAACATAAGACTCAGCATATTTACAACATGTAAAATGTAGGCTATTGAATTTTGTCAACAATATTGCTATCACACAAATTTAAATATTGTCTTATTTTGGCATTTTTGTTGGCATATTTGCTGTCCACTGGCATTGATAGTTGAAAGGTCATCAGTAGAAATTTCAGATCAAATTTCCAAGGCCCATGAATATATCAGTTGTTTATAACTTTCTTTTGCTTATTGACAGGTCTCAATGTTTCCACAGGTCCTGTGATGATTCCTGATTACATATGGGTACAGTGTCGGACATTGCATGGCATGCAATCGGAGAATCTTTATTGTTATTACAAGATGCCATTTGGTTTTGGTTGCATCATGTTGATCAACCCTATATATTGAACATTACTTGAAATACATTCTTGTTTGACCATACTAAACCTTAAGACTTTGGAAAAGTTTTATTGAGTGGGTCTTTCTTATCATGTAAACAGCACGATGTGTACATGGTTATACTAACTATATACAATATAATCAAGTGATAACAGACTCAGATATCCGTATAAAAGTTTCCATTTTAACATATCACTACACTGTGGAAACAGCCATTTGCTGGCTCTACAGTAGACAAACAAGTTACATAACACCAGAAAGTCACCACTGTTACTGCCTCTTTGGTATTGATGTAACTAATGACTGAATAACTACAATTGAACAAGGATCTTTTTAGACTGCACCCTTGTGCCATATGCACAATGAAATTTTAAATGGCACAGTCAAAATACTGTCACAGGCTGTTATGGCTCACTTTAATCCCATATGGTGAAATATAATCAAACACCTGTGCCCTCATAAGAAATATTGTTGCATCGACTTGATGCTTGTGTATGTACTACAGAAGGATCACCAAGAGTGATGCACCGTAGCTCATGTGAACTAGTTGTATTTATATCCTGTGCGGTAGTGCATGAAGTTTATGATTTATTCTTACAGAAAACATACATTGACAACACAATCTTCATTCCTAAACATCCATGTGAATTTTCTGCATCTGGGTGGATGCAGGATTTCACATCTGTTAAATCACTGTACTTTACATGCCATCTTATTATTGTGTGTGTGTTTCAGCTGGCGATTGGCTACAGGGGCCTCATGTGTATGCCCTGTATGATAGCTACAGCATGACCACACATCAGATCGAGGTCCTCTTTGTAGCAGGCTTCGGCTCCAGCATGATCATCGGCACAGTAGTCGGCTCCTTTGCTGACAAATTGTAAGTAGTGATATATCCTCACGAAGGCCATGCATTGTATTTACATATCCTCATGAAGGCCATGCATTGTATTAAAATATCCTTACAAATGCCATGCATTGTATTTACATATCCCCACAAATGCCATGCATTGTATTTACATATCTTCACGAAGGCCTTGCATTGTATTTACATATCCTCACAAATGCCATGCATTGTATTTACTTATCCTCACGAAGGCCATGCATTGTATTTACATAACCTCACAAATGCCATGCATTGTATTTACATATCTTCACGAAGGCCATGCATTGTATTTACATAGCCTCACGAAGGCCATGCATTGTATTTACATATCTTCACGAAGGCCATGCATAGTATTTTACATATCCTCATGAAGGCCATGCATAGTATTTACATATGTTCACGAAGGCAATGCATTGTATTTACATATCTTCACGAAGGCCATGCATCGTATTTACATATCCTCACGAAGGCCATGCATTGAATCTACATATCTTCACGAAGGCCATGCATTGTATTTACATATCTTCACGAAGGCCATGCATTGTATTTACATATCTTCACGAAGGCCATGCATTGTATTGACATATCTTCACGAAGGCCATGCATTGTATCTACATATCTTCACGAAGGCCATGCATTGTATTTACATATCTTCACGAAGGCCATGCATCGTATCTACATATCCCCACAAATGCCATGCATTGTATTTACATATCTTCACGAAGGCCTTGCATTGTATTTACATATCCTCACAAATGCCATGCATTGTATTTACATATCCTCACGAAGGCCATGCATTGTATTTACATAACCTCACAAATGCCATCCATTGTATTTACATATCTTCACGAAGGCCATGCATTGTATTTACATAGCCTCACGAAGGCCATGCATTGTATTTACATATCTTCACGAAGGCCATGCATAGTATTTTACATATCCTCATGAAGGCCATGCATAGTATTTACATATGTTCACGAAGGCCATGCATTGTATTTACATATCTTCACGAAGGCCATGCATCGTATTTACATATCCTCACGAAGGCCATGCATTGAATCTACATATCTTCACGAAGGCCATGCATTGTATTTACATATCTTCACAAATGCCATGCAATGTATTTACATATCTTCACGAAGGCCATGCATTGTATTTACATATCTTCACGAAGGCCATGCATTGTATTGACATATCTTCACGAAGGCCATGCATCGTATCTACATATCTTCACGAAGGCCATGCATTGTATTTACATATCTTCACGAAGGCCATGCATTATATTTACATATCCTCACGAAGGCCATGCATTGTATTTACATATCTTCACGAAGGCCATGCATAGTATTTTACATATCCTCACGAAGGCCATGCATTGTATTTACATATCTTCACGAAGGCCATGCATTGTATTTACATATCTTCACGAAGGCCATGCATTGTATTGACATATCTTCACGAAGGCCATGCATCGTATTTACATATCCTCACGAAGGCCATGCATTGAATCTACATATCTTCACGAAGGCCATGCATTGTATTTACATATCTTCACGAATGCCATGCAATGTATTTACATATCTTCACGAAGGCCATGCATTGTATTTACATATCTTCACGAAGGCCATGCATTGTATTGACATATCTTCACGAAGGCCATGCATTGTATCTACATATCTTCACGAAGGCCATGCATTGTATTTACATATCCTCACGAAGGCCATGCAATGTATTTACATATCTTCACGAAGGCCATGCATTGTATTTACATATCTTCATGAAGGCCATGCATTGTATTTACATATCTTCACGAAGGCCAAGCATTGTATTTACATATCTTCACGAAGGCCATGCATTGTATTTACATATACTCATGAAGGCCATGCATTGTATTTACATATCTTCACGAAGGCCATGCATTTTATTTACATATCTTCACGAAGGCCATGCATTGTATTGACATATCTTCACGAAGGCCATGCATCGTATCTACATATCTTCACGAAGGCCATGCATTGTATTGACATATCCTCACGAAGGCCATGCAATGTATTTACATATCTTCACGAAGGCCATGCATTGTATTTACATATCCTCATGAAGGCCATGCATTGTATTTACATATTTTCACGAAGGCCATGCATTGTATTTACATATCTTCACGAAGGCCATGCATAGTATTTACATATCCTCACGAAGGCCATGCATTGTATTTACATATCCTCATGAAGGCCATGCACTATATTGACATATCCTCACAAGAGCCATGCATATCATTGTCTAGTGGCATATCCTCACTGGGGCCAGACAGTGTAGTGTTATATACTCACTGGGGCCACATACTGTAGTGACCTATAATCACTAGGTTCACATCGTGTTGTGATCTATTATCACTGGGGCCACATTGTGTAGCGACCTATAATCACTAGGTTCACATCGTGTTGTGATCTATACCCACTGGGGCCTCATAATGTTGTGACTTATACTCAGTGAACTCACTTATACTCAGTTAACATGAATGCCTTTGGCGAACACTCTCATTTCCTCTTCCAAAACGGCACGGACATGATATAAATTCAGCAGATAAACCAAGGAAACCGAACCATTTTGAATGCACAGACGGGACCCCCGGCGCTAATGTGACTTTGAAAATTTTCTTATAGGTGTCCTGCGTACTAACAACATGATGCTTGAATTACCATAAGTTGAAGAAATTCTTCCAAAAGGATTTTGAGCGTCAGTGCTGTTATGTTTGCAAACACAACTTCAGGTGCATGTTGTTAATGCGTATGCATAGAAATGTCAACAACGCCCATATTTGGGCAATATTCATGCACAACCAGATTTTGCAACCGGTTTCAGTTTGGTCTGTCAACAAACGAAAGTTGTTATGTTTTGACACTTAAATATATATTTAACGTGGGTAATAAATAAAATACCACACTCATTCTTGTTAGATACCATTTTTACGAAACAAGTGGGCTTTCTATGGTATCTGACCGAGCATAAGTATTCGAGTGTAGTATTCTCTATATACTCACTTATTGTACCTATTTTTGATTATTGTGATAATATTTGGGATAATTGTAATAATGAACAAGTAAAACTATTAGAAAATTTACACTTGGATGCTCTACGAACAATATGTGGAGCAGTACGAGGAACCAGTCACAAAAAACTTTATAGGGAAACGGGTTTATGCTCACTGTCCGACAGACGACATTACCATAAATTATGTATATTTTACAAAATGGTCAATGGGCTAGCTCCTAAATATCTGTCTTTATGGGTCCCACCTAATATATCCAGCATAACTGGATATAACCTTCGTACTTCTAATGACTTCCAGACCAGTTGATATTAATATTAGAAATGTAGATTCCTTATCTCGGTTTAAGCAATTAATTTCTAGAGAAACTAAGCTTACTGCAAATTTTACATCTTTTGCTAGTTATGGCCAGCGGCAATGTCAGATGATTTTATCTAGACTTAGGCTAGGTTGTAGTGATTTAAAATCACATTTTTTTGACAGATTTCTGATTGATAATCCCATCTGTCCATGTGGCCTAAATAGAGAAGATGCTTTCCACTTTTTTCTATCTTGTCCACGCTATGCCAAGTTTAGAATTGATAAATACTTTTTTGTTAACCAGCTCAGCATACATACTATACTCCACGGCAATGAAGATTCATCTTCCTCAGACAATGAACACATTATAAAATCAGTTCACAATTACATCATTGAAACAAACCGCTTTACGTAAGTTTTGTGTCAACTTAAGAATATAAAATGCATTTGGTATCTTGCTTTCCATTTTATTTCATGTTGTGTTACTCATTAATGTCTGCTCTATAGACTTCATCAATCTACATGTATAATGTACAATATTAGGAGAAGCATTAATATAGGCCTTTTTGGCCTGTTTGCTAATCCTTTTTCCATTTTGTAATGCTATTTAATGTAAAATCTGAACATTAATGGAAATAAAATACTGTTTAAATCATACTCACTGGGGCCACACAGTGTAATGACCTATACCCACTCGGGCCGGTTGGCTAGCCTAGTGGTTAAAGCGTTCACTCGTCACGCCGAAGACCCGGGTTCGGTTCCCGACATGGGTACAATGTGTGAAGCCCATTTCTGGTGTCCCCCGCCGTGATATTGCTGGAATATTGCTAAAAGCGGCGTAAAACCATTCTCACTCACTATACTCACTGGAGCCACATAGTGTAATGACCTATACTCACTGTGGCCACACAGTGTAGTGACCTATACTAACTGTGGTCACACAGTGTAGTGACCTATACTCACTGTGGTCACACAGTGTAATGACCTATACTCACTGGAGCCTCACAGTGTAGTGACCTATACTCACTGCGGCCACACAGTGTAGTGAACTATACTCACTGCGGCCACACAGTGTTGTGAACTATACTCGCTGGGGCCACACAGTGTAATGACCTATCCTCACTGGGGCCACACAGTGGAGTGACCTATACTCACTGGGGTCACAAAATTAAGGAATAGTGACCTAAACTCACTAGGGCCACACAGCGTAGTGACCTATACTCACTGGGGCCACAAGGTGTTGTGACCTAAACTCACTAGGGCCACACTGCGTAGTGACCTATACTCACTGGGGTCACAAGGTGTAGTGACCTAAAATCACTAGGGCCACACAGCGTTGTGACCTAAACTCACTAGGGCCACAAGGTGTAGTGACCTAAACTCACTTGGGCCATATAGCGTTGTGACCTATACTCACTGGAGCCACAGTATCAATGCAACTCTGAACATTTTATATGTTACGTTCCTGGAATAACTGGACAGGGGTAACACGTTTCACAGGATATTTGCGTGGCTGTGACATTTATTTTGTATGAGTATGTATTAGACTTTGTATGGCCAAGATCAATTGCAAGCTAATGTAAGGCTCACTGATTTTGTTGTATATGACAGTCAATTTCATAGAAAAGTAATGGCTTAACACTGAAGGATGGCTCTATCAAATCATTTTATTTGCCTGGTTGTCAAAGATACCTTCTATACTCATCTTTGTGCCATGTGAAAGATCATAGTGCCTTCATCAATCTGTTAGTGTCCAGTTTGTTGTACAGAGAAACAACAGCCTGTCAGTTATGCAAACATTGATTGCAGAGTAGTAGCATAACCAAAATTACACTTGTGCAAAAAATATCAAAAGAAGTGGAATAATGAACAATGATAATGTTGATAAACTTGTTAATACTAGCACCAAAAGATTCTTTCTGTTTAAGAGCTGTTTTACAGGTTCACTTTATTATAACAGAAGATTCTTTTTTGACCATGTTTAATTTGTTTAATCTTTTATCATGTTCATAAGGTTCATTCAATATTGTGTGTACAAGAACAATACCTGTCACATGTTTGTGATTTGCACAATGTTTTTTTTCAGTGGGAGACGGGCTAACTGTATTCTTTATGGAGTGTTGTACGGACTTGCATGTGTCACTAAGGTAAGACTGCAAGGGACGACCTTATCTAGTCTGAACTCAATACCATACCATGCACTTTACGATTGCATTGGAATCAAGACATGCTTAAACTCTTTAAAAATGGCAAAGACAGACATTAACACAAAATTCTGCTAATTGTTCTCTTTGTAGGACTCCTGCATTCAATCACAGGAGCAGCACAATGAGACTGAATGTAGGGCACAGAAATCCAAGAAGGATAGCTGATTGCTTTATGAGCCTGTCATGTGTGTATCATGGATAACACATGGGGTCATATATCACCTCTGACAAACCTGTTTGAATGCTTTCAACACTTCATAACTTTACCATGATTACAGACATGCTTTGATATGAACATAAATGTGAAAACAATTAAGGTGTGTCAAGTTACAAACATATATTTCCTGCTACATGTACAGGGCGTGATTGATATGTTCTGAACCACACATAGAACCATTTGACCTACAGACATTAAAAAAATGGTTTACTTTTCAAAGTAAAATTTCCTTCCACATTGATACAATTTTGCAAATTAATATGGATTTTATCCCTGTTTTGAAAAAGTCCTCTTGGTTGTCAGAAAAGTCCCACACCATTGCAATGACGTCATTGATTGAGTCGAAATGGCTTCTGGCTAGAGCTTTTTCATGTTTGGGAAAAGATGAAAGTCTGACAGAGCCATACAGGAGATCAGGATGGGTGCTAAAGCAGTTGAAAGGCACACTCATGGATGTAGCCATGGCAGTGACTGATTTGTGCACTGGCGCATTGTCCTTTTCTCAGCTTCCGAATTTCTTGGACTTTTTTTCATCCCATCATTGATTCAGAAGTGCAGCATGATATGCTCCATATATTGTCTGGCCTTTGAAAATATAGTCCACCAAGATGTCACACTTGGCATCCCACAACAGGGAGGCCTTATCCTGTCCAACTGATGGAGGTGGTGGTCATGCTGGTGGTGGTGGTGATGTCAAATGCTTTCACTGTTTGATTGTTCATTGGACCCGACCTGGAAGTGGTGAACGCAGATTTCATCCAGGTTAAGTCACAAATCGTTGCAAGAACAGAGCTAGATAATCTTGAGATGTGTTGTGCCGGTGCTATTTGTAAGAAGCTTTGGAATCCCAAAAGCTGATACTTTCTTCATTGCCAAAGTTTCTGTGATAATGAAATGTACTCTCTCCTGAGGTGTGTTCAGGAGGGCCGGTGATCATGTGAGCGTACAGTGAGGCAATTCAATTCTGGGCAAAGGCAAACGTTTGTACAATGTGCAACACCATCATGGATTACTAGGCTAACTACCTCCGGGGCTTGACGACAAGTAAACACATGCAATCATGCAGTCAGTCGTGTTCAACAGTGCGTGCACTCGTAATATCGCAATCGCCTATCCTGAACACACCTCCGGTAAATGTCCACTGAACCAGTCATTCGCCAGTCGGCCATCACCAAATCGTGGATTCCCTTTATTCATCTGCAAATGCCAAACTAGTCGGAATATCAACCAATCGGTATTTGCGATTGATGTAGACAAATATTGCCAACAGTATTGGTGAAACAAATTATCTTGCTCGACAGGCAGATAGATATAAGGCGGCGTTCACATACTTTGATCCCTGACATGCATCTGTATGTGTACTGTTCCAAGTGGACACAACTGTTTACTAATTTGCAGCAGACACTGGACATAATGCTGAGGGACCTATTAAATCTCCTTCCAGCTCCACCAGGGGATTGATTTTAATAATACTTGGCTATCCTACTATTATGTAAGAAAGTATATAAGTCTTGTATTGACACAATGGAATGTTTTCTACTGTTTACCAATTTGATTAAAGTATTGCAAATTCAGAAATACATTGTTTGTAGATTGTTTTTATCATTATCCAACCTGTTACCGGGTATTCCACAAAAAACTTTGGGAGTAGTGCACTTTACTGGGCGCACTTTTTCAGATCCAATTAGCACTGTGGGGGCTCGAACGCGTTAATGCGTTAATTAGACATAATAAGCATGCGTAATTCAGAAAACAATGAATTGTGCATGCGTGTGACGTCACTGTTCGCTCTCCCATTAATCTTTTCTTGAAACCACACCCGCCATTGTTTATGTCAACATGACCGACCAATCGGATTAACTGGATTAACGCTTGAAAAGGTAAGAAATTATAGCTAACCCTTGTCCAAAGCAAGCTAACCCTAAAGACCGAAAAGGGGTGTTTGATCGTAAAGACCGAAAAGGGGTGATGGATTGTAAAGATCCACGGTAACGGTACAGCGAAAAAGCTGTAGCACTATAGCGAGGTAATTGACTGGATGGTAGAGCTCGGGCTGCTCCCGGTAAACTGCATTGTTGCCAAAACTTTATAAGTAATTCTTCAAATGCTAATAAAACAAATCCTAATTATGTAACAAGGTTGAATCAAGTATTGTGTGAAAGTGTATAAAAAGAACTTTCATTTGATATCATGAATGTAAAACTTTAAAAAAAATCGGCGGCCATTTTGAAGATACCACCAGTGGGAACTTGGGGAACTTTGTGCTGGGGGCATCAGTATGACTTTCTGAAGGTCTCCAGAAAAATTCAGTTTTCTACTATTTTTACCAGGTTATTTTTTTGTCTAATTAGTTAGTAGAATAGACAGTGTTGTACAGATAGACAGTGTTGACATTCGTCTGTTTTTGAAATTCCTAAATATTGTTTTGAAGAGTTTGGCTCTCCTAAGAGCTACAAATAAGATGTATGACTGCTTAAAATATGCAAAAAACACTGCATGTGCGTTATTACCCAATATAGCCTATTCTGCTTGTGTACAGGTTTACAGATCTGTATTTACTGATCAAACATATACATAAGGTACTCTAATTCAATCAAGCTCCACATATACATAAGGTATTCAGTGAAGCACACACAATTGTGCTCCGCCTGGCTTACTGTAACGTGTAGTATTTTTGTGAACTTATGGGACATGTGACACATTTGATTGTGTATGAATATATTAGAAGTCACCAGAAGCAGCTTTTTATGCAAATATATGTTTTGAAAATGTGGACTCACTAGTTCAAATTATACCCTTTAAACAGGACGAAAGGGAGTAAAATATATATTCAAATGCCAATGTGAATGATAACATATGAGTCCTTATTACCCACGTGGTGAAGATACAGGTGGTAAGATACCAAATCCGTACGTCACACGTGTGTCATACAAGGTTGACCTTGTTTCATTCGTTTTGATTGGGTAACTGTGACCTCTGTCACATCGGTACTACTTTTTTCATTCATAAAAAATCGCGAGACGTCATTCATTTTGCAACTACAAGGCAGAACTGAAGAAATTAATGAGAACGAGAGATATTTACAAACACTTTATTAAACCAAACAAAATAGTCACACGAATCAAATTCGGTTTGCATTATATATAAGTTATGCATAGAGCTTCTACAGACATTATACAGAATAATCGAGCTATATCCATTTACAATGTATGACTAATCTAATTAGTGTTTGGAATAATAGAGCGAGGGTCCCCATGAGCGTGACGCACCCGACCACTTTCACAACTTTCTATTTGATTTAACGTAATAGGATAAGCTTGGTGAAATGAAGTCTGTTTAAACATCTGGACAGATATTTAGACTTACTTTGGATGGTCCAGTTGTGCCATCAGTGTCCCCTTCGTAGAGTATTTTGTGGCGCTGTTACGGTAGGTGTTGTTCAATGAATGAACGTATATGACTGCAGGACCAGATCACTAACAGTGAACAGTTCTGATACAAATCATTCGAAAACTCCTTTGAAGTGTGCCTGATTTCTGATTTTGTGGCCCCAAACATCCCAAATGTGAACAATAACATTCCCTATCTCTAGCGTAAAACGCTGTGAGTAGGCCTAGATCACGGTTGTCTTTTCTTATACCAGTGGTGACCTTGCCCTTCGATCGTTCGAAGCTGTCACTGACATGCAAGCAGACTTGAGTTTGTTGATTTTCACGTCTTCAGTATAGGGTGGTACAGATAACATAAATGTCTTTTGCGAACACTCTGATTTCCCTCTTCCAAAATGATATGAACATGATATAAATTCGGCTGATAGATCAAGGAAACCGAACCATTTTGATTGCACAGACGGGACACCAGTAGTGCGAGGGACCGACTGTTGATCCGATATTCAAAGCGTGGCGCTAATGTGAATTTTCAAATTTTCATATAGGTGTCCTTCGTACTAACAACATGGCCCTTGAATTACCATAAGTTGAAGAATTTCTTCTAAAAGGATTTTGAGCGTCAGTGCTGTTATGTTTGCAAACACAACTTCAGGCGCATGTTGTTAATGCGTATGCATAGAAATGTCAACAACGCCCATATTTGGGCAATATTCATGCGCAACCAGATTTGCACCCGGCATGCATCATCAGGCATATGGTGTCCATCGTCTGGCACCCGGCATGCATCATCAGGCATATGGTGTCCATCGTCTGGCACCCGGCATGCATCATTAGGCATATGGTGTCCATCGTCTGGCACCCGGGATGCATCATCAGGCATATGGTGTCCATTGTCTGGCACCCTGCATGCATCATCCGGCATATGGTGTCCATCGTCTGGCACCCGGGATGCATCATCAGGCATATGGTGTCCATCGTCTGGCACCTGGCATGCATCATTAGGCATATGGTGTCCATTGTCTGGCACCCGGTATGCATCATCAGGCATATGGTGTCCATCGTCTGGCACCCGGCATACAGTGTATGTTGCTAACATCTTCTCCTCAGAAACCACTAGACAAAGAAAGCTTAAATTTCACATGCTTGTTCCCATCAATAATGTCACCTAAATATGCTAAAAAGTTCAGATCAATTTTTTTATTTTTCATAATTTATTTCTGGTTATCATGTGGTCATTTCATATTGGTATTATCATAATTGGCATATGCTGTTTCAGTATTGGGACTCAATACATATGTTTTGAATATAGATGTGTGATATAACTGGCATAACAGTATTTGGCAAATAATCGTATCGCAATATAACCCCGAGTATCAATATTTTCCAATACAGTCACAGAAGAATTAATACATAAGTATATTATATAAAATTATATCTATTATCTTGAGGCATTTGGATGGACTGGGTTCCTATCTAAGCCATGTAAACAGCACACACTTCACGCTGTTTACATTGATATTCCATATTGATGATGCAATAGGTACATGTAGTCTTGATTATCCATACTACCCATCTTACTATCTGATCATTGAATGAAGGAGTACCATTTGAACAGTACAAGTATATATCATTTTTGCATACAGATGAAATGTTTATGTTCTGAGATTGCGGACCTGTGTGCCTGTGTTGTTACGCGTTGCAAGAGAGCGCCATTTTCAAAGCCTCGTTGCCGTCATGGTAGAATGGAGATAAACCTACTGTGTTTTGAAATTTGATGTAGTCCCACTGTAAAGTAGATACTTCTTTATTATAATTTGGAACCTCACGCTACAGCGCTCGGTTCAAAATTTAAAAAAAGAGGTATCTAATTCTACAGTGGGACTACATCAAATTTCAAAACACAGTAGGTTTATCTCCTAAATATGCTCACCCTTGTTTTGACCAAGCTCCTAAGTTCTCTCTACCCTTCTGAAATTGCCAGCCTAAGGAATCTGAACTTTGGCATGTATGTTTCTTCATTTAAAAGACACCATATTTTGCTTATACCTATAGAATTTAGTGTAAAATATTACATTCAATATTATATGCTTCTAACTTTTGTTAGCTACAGTGCCATTACACTGTTTTTGTGCAAAATTGTTTATGATAATTGTGTCTTGACCAATGTTGCAGCACTTCAACAACTTCTGGATCCTGATGTTAGGCAGATTTTTGGGAGGTATGGCAACCTCCATCCTCTACAGTGCTTTTGAATCCTGGCTTGTCTATGAACACAACAAGGTATGACCAGTATCTGATGTCATAGAGTATTACTTCCCTGACTGTACAGCTGAAACCGGCGCACACAGCTATATGATTATTGGTTAACATGGTAATAGGATGTGCTTTGCTCTGTAGCAACAAACATGCTTTTGGTATTTAACTCTTTCAACACCAGTCAACCAGAAGCCATTACTGCTGTGACACCCAAGTTCCCGAAATTATCTGCTTGTAAAACTTCTTTGCTACTACATGTTATACACCATTTGAAAGGTCTGATCCTACTGTTTATACATATGAAAGTTATGTTTATCACATTATTTGAGACCCGTGAATATCCGGGGTAGAAAAGGTCTTCAGCAACCCATTCTTGCCGTAAAAGGCGACTATGTTTGTCGTAAGAGGCTACTAACGGGATTGCGTGGTCAGGCTTGCTGACTTGGTTGATGCATGTCATTGTATTCTAATTGTATGTATCGGTGCTCATGATGTCAATCACTTGAATGTCTGGTTCCGACTCAATTATTTACAGAATAAATAATGCATTTACAACTTAAATAAGTTTGTTTTAAATAAAAAGATGTAAGCTAACACATTCATAACTTCCAGATTAAGGATCTAGAAGCGAAAATTTGACGATTTTCAGCAAATACAAAGTTTCATAAAATCCACTAAGCTATTTCCTTTTTATTTTCATTGTTTACATATTTGGAAAATTATTTTAAAAAGATTTATAAAGGTGTTGAAAGAGTGAAACTAATTTCAGTGTTCAGCTTAGTTCAAGCTGCAACTCTAAAAACTACACAATGATAATTTTTGTTTACTTTTTATCAATAAAAGTTGTAGCCAAAACTAAACGTTGGATGCATAAAACCACACATACCCCTCGTGAGATGAATTACATCTTGCCTACATATTTCAATCTGCCATCGTAAAAGAATTAAAACAAATTTAAAATTTATGGAAAATGGCTGTTTGATTGAGCTGAGGTAAGCTTGTGTTGTGTCACATGACTTTCAGCTTTTGGCTTCGTAGCAGGATACGTAGTATTTTATCAAAATCTCACTCAACACTCTGACGTAGAGGTAAGATAATTGGCATTATTACCAAAATGATCTCATTTAGCAACACCCGTAAAAATCTTGGTTAGAATAGTTATTCAGCAACCCATGATTGCTCTATAAGGTGACTATGTTTGTTGTAAGTACTGAGTTTGGGTGGTCAGGCTCGCTGACTCGGTTGATGCATGTCATCGTATCCCAATTGCTCATGTCAATCACTAGATTGTCTGGTCCAGACTTGGTTGTTTACAGACAGCTGACATAGCTGGAATATTGCTGAGTGCGGCGTTTAAACAACGAATAAACAAAATATTGAGCAAATATTCCATAAATATCAAGATGAGATACAGAAGACTTAGGCTGTAATTATCTGATCATCCAGAGGTATAGACAAATGGCCATGTGAAGAAAATCAAGGCATGTATCCATGCCAAGTACATCAAGAGTCGAGGCGTGTGTCCATGCCATAAAAGTCAAGGTGTCTCCATACTATATATGTCAAGGCGTGTCTGCATGCTATGTCTTGTCAAGGCGTGTCTCCATGTTGTGTTAGTCACGGCGTGTGTCCATGCTATATATGTTAAGGCATGTCTCCATGCTATATATGTCAAGGTGTCTCTCTGCTATATATGTCAAGGCCCGTCTCCATGCTATATATGTCAAGGCATGTCTCCATGCTATGTCTGTCAAGGCGTGTCTATGCTATATATGTCAAGGCCCGTCTCCATGCTATATATGTCAAGGCATGTCTCCATGCTATATATGTCAAGGCATGTCTCAATGCTATATATGTCAAGGTGTCTCTATGCTATATATGTCAAGGCCCGTCTCCATGCTATATATGTCAAGGCATGTCTCCATGCTATATATGTCAAGGCGTGTCTCGATGCTATATATGTCAAGGTGTCTCCATGCTATATATGTCAAGGCGTGTCTCCATGCTATATATGTCAAGGTGTCTCCATGCTATATGTCTGTCAAGGCCTGTCTCCATGCTTTATATGTCAAGGCGTGTCTCCATGCTATGTCTGTCAAGGCGTGTCTCCATGCTATATATGTCAAGGCCCGTCTCCATGCTATATATGTCAAGGCATGTCTCCATGCTATATATGTCAAGGCATGTCTCCATGCTATATATGTCAAGGCGTGTCTCCATGCTATATATGTCAAGGTGTCTCCATGCTATATGTCTGTCAAGGCCTGTCTCCATGCTTTATATGTCAAGGCGTGTCTCCATGCTGTGTCTGTCAAGGCGTGTCTCCATGCTATATATGTCAAGGCCCGTTTCCATGCTATATATGTCAAGGCGTGTCTCAATGCTATATATGTCCAAGCGAGTCTGCATGCTGTGTTAGTCACGGCGTGTCTCCATGCTTTATATGTCAAGGCGTGACTCCATGCTATATATGTCAAGGTGTCTCTATGCTATATATGTCAAGCCCTGTTTCCATGCTATATATGTCAAGGCGTGTCTCCATGCTATGTCTTGTCAAGGCGTGGCTCCAGGCTGTGTAAGTCACGGCATGTCTCCATGCTATATATGTCAAGGCCCGTTTCCATGCTATATATGTCAAGGCGTGTCTGCATGCTATGTCTTGTCAAGGCGTGTCTCCATGCTATATATGTCAAGGCCCGTTTCCATGCTATATATGTCAAGGCGTGTCTCCATGCTATATATGTCAAGGCCCGTTAACATGCTATAAATATCAAGGCATGTCTCCATGCTATATATGTCAAGGCGTGTCTCCATGCTATATATGTCAAGGCGTGTCTCCATGCTGTATATGTCATGGCCTGTCTCCATGCTATATATGTCAAGTCAAGTCTGCATGCTATGTCTTGTCAAGGCGTGTCTCCATGCTGTGTTAGTCAAGGCCCGTCTCCATGCTGTATATGTCATGGCGTGTCTCCATGCTACAATGTCAAGTCGAGTCTGCATGCTATGTCTTGTCAAGGCGTGTCTCCATGCTGTGTTAGTCACGGCGTTTCTCCATGCTATATATGTCAAGGCCCGTTTCCATGCTGTATATGTCAAGGTGTGTCTCCATGCTATATATGTCAAGGCCCGTTTCCATGCTATATATGTCAAGGCGTGTCTCCATGCTATGTCTGTCAAGGCCTGTTTCCATGCTGTATATGTCAAGGCGTGTCTCCATGCTATATATGTCAAGGCCCGTTTCCATGCTATATATGTCAAGGCCCGTTTTCATGCTATATATGTCAAGGCGTGTCTGCATGCTATGTCTTGTCAAGGCGTGTCTCCATGCTGTGTTAGTCACAGCGTGTCTCGATGCTATATATGTCAAGGCCTGTTTCCATGCTATATATGTCAAGGCCCGTTTCCATGCTATCTATGTCAAAGCGTGTCTCCATGCAATGTCAGTTAATAACTTTCGGTATTCAATGTTTTTACCTCACCCAACCTAATGACCAAGTGCATCGTATTAATGTTGAAGTTATTTTCTTCCAGAGAGGATTTGATCAAGATTTACTTGGCAGCATCTTCAGTAATGCTATTCTTGGCAACTCTCTGGTGGCCATTGTGGCAGGTCTTGTTGCACAGTTCTTTGCTGATCGGTTTGGATTTGTGTGAGTATAAACATTATTATATACTCCCAATTTTCTCCAGTTTATGGAGAAAAGTATATTTTGGATTCCTGGTTGGAATGGATGGTTACAGTAAATGACCTGGATGATTGTGTGTCATTGTACCCAGACAGCATAGATCTTGTGCATCATCTGCCAGGCCAGGGATTATCCTGGAAATCTTTAGCTATAAGAGAAAATCTCCCCTTGTCTGAAAGCAATGATATTTTTAGACATGTGATGAGATTTTGCTAATTTACAGAGATATTTCGTCTTCGACACAGTGGAAACTGTATTTGATTTTCGGTATTTGCGACTTAAATTATATTGCAACTAATGTTACTAGATTTTATAAATATGTCCTCGGATATTTCGATTATATTAATTATTCCACTATGATAATACTTAAAAATATTAGCATTAGTATTGAAACAAATTACATTAGTATTTATATTTCTGTTTCTTGTCTACTTCAGCAGAAATTACATTATTATACCCCCGTTTACGAAGTAAATCGGGGGTATATAGCGTTCCGTCCGTCCTTCTGTCCGAGCTTTTGTACAGCCCATAACCTTTTAACCATGCACCCTAGCTTCACCAAACTTGCTACACACATTAACCACAATGAGTACTTGTGCCTTTTGCTAGTTTGAAGATTGTGAATTTTTTAATTTTTGCCGTTTCCATAGACACATTAAGAAACTTAAACTTTTAGGGTGGGTGTTTTGTACGGCCCATATCTTTTTAAATATGCATCCTAGCTTCATCAAGCTTGCTACACACATTACCCACAATGAGTACTTCTGAATTCTGAATTTTTCTATTTTTGCCGTTTCCATGGAATCATGGTGAAACATAAATTTTGGGTAGAGTTTTTGTACGATCCATGTTTACAATATTATGTATCCTAGCTTCAGCAAACCTGCTACATTAACCACTATGATTGTTTTTTATCTTTTAGAAGATTCTGAAAGTTTTCTCTTTTGCTGTTTTCATGGAAACATGATGGAATTTTGAAATTTTGATGACTGGTTTTGTATTGCTCATGGGGTTACAAAGGAAAGGGCAGTTCCTCTGACTTAAAGCAACAGGTATATTTCATTAATTGACAAACTATTTACTATTTGTTGTTGACCAACGGGGATAACGGGGGTATGTGAGCTTTGCTCACTTCTTTCTTGTTATTCATGTATTTCTGTTCATTGTTGACTTTAGGAGCAATTATACGCTAGTACAATTATAGATCATTTACGAGGCATGTTTACCATGATCAGCTGTTCATTTCGTTTGCATGCGGCAGAGAACATTCTGCAGTTATAAAATTTCTTGGTCTTGACAATGTGTGTTCAGATCATAATTGAATATGAAAGTGATTCTTTCACGAGGGTATGATCGTGAAAACTCTTCCACCAGTGCCAGTCTTATCGAAAGGCAAGGGCAATATAATCTAAAATATGATTGTCTGTGATCTGAAAAATGTATATTATTATGGAGAGAGATTTGTAGATATATCCATTTAGTTTTTGTTTTGTTGTCATTCCAGTATAGGAATTTGCTTGTGTTTAGAAACTTTACCTGTGATTGCTTTTTTTTACTCACAGTGTAAATCAATATTCACTCACTCTTCTCTCTGTTTAATTTTCAACATGTCTCTTTTAAGAACTTATTGTGGACACACTTGTGTCCAGTCAGCATTTGCTACCTACTTAATACCTCATGGTGACAATTTGCATCGTGTTGAAGCAGACACAGCTGATTGTGTTGAGTGATTTGTAACCCTGCATGAGTCTTGGGTTCACCACAATCAGCCAGACTAAACAAAGCAGTGGAACCATCAGTTCATCAGCTGGCAAGATGATGGTTTTAGTTTTCTGGGATTCCAAAGGACTCCTACAGGTGGCCCCATCTCCCATTAATGGCCAACTGCAGAAGGTTATCAAGGCTAGCACCATGGAAAACTCTATTTTCAAAAAAGAAACTAAATAATGTTAAACTTTTGAAATCGTTAGAGAGCTGATTCTTCCTGAATGGCACTATAAGAATGGTTATACATGTACTTGAAAACATGGTGGCAGCTGCTCAGAAACCAAAAAGAATAGAGAGCTTCTATTAATGTAGTATAAGTAAAACTACACTGGATAGTGACAGAAAATAACACCTTGCTAGTTTAAATGTTTCTTTGAAATGTTTAATACATAATACTAGAATGCGTGTCTATTATTCCCCTACCTGTGCACGCACGCACACACACACACGCACAGAGTAAAAGAATTATGTGTTGGTGGGATTATGTCCCCATTGCTGACAGAACACACTGCAAATTTTCTCCTGTTCATATTGACCAAGAAGCTTCATGATCATTGTTGATACGACTCTCACGTTGATAGCAGCCTGTGCTCACCGTGCTTGAGGGGATCTATGGCTTTATCAGTGGCTGAATTATATATCTAATGACTGTAACAGCTTTTGTGGTACACATTGAGACGTTGTCGAATGGTAACAGCCGGAGGTCATTGATTTATCTACTGGCAACTTCATATTAAAAGCATTGATTAATTTCTTTGCTTGTTCAGCTTGGTTGAGCCCAACATAAATACTTTACCAATGTTTGTGTGTTATATGGAGTCCAGAAATATTGTGTTTAATAACATGATAAATTCTTGTTATATACATACAAGACAACAGACAACAGAGGAACACCTGAGAGGTGCTACTGAAGTTTACTTTTCACATTGTAAACACACTTATGACATGGGAGCTAATCTGAAATTACAATAGAGACATCAGTCGATGGCAATCAACAAATGAGACACACAGTTAAAGGATTTGTTGCATTTATTATTTTAATCTTTCATAAAAAAATCCTTCTTTTCGGTTACAAATGTCATGCATAAGCAACACAAAGTAAAATATGGGATGTATTTACTTGAATAAGCCTATAAGCAGGTAAATGAAGCGATGAATAGACCATGAGTGATGTAACAGTGATATCAATTTGTGACTTTAACATACATAGACCTAGCCCCCTACCCTGCTGTATCATGTAAGGTGTGATAGTGTATCATGTAAGATGTGATAGTGTATCATGTAAGGTGTGATGATGTATCATGTAAGGTGTGATAGTGTATCATGTAAGGTGTGATGGTGTGTCGTGTAAGATGTGATAGTGTGTCATGTAAGGTGTGATGGTGTATCATGTAAGGTGTGATGGTGTATCTTGTAAGGTGTGATTGTGTATCATGTAAGGTGTGATAGTGTATCATGTAAGGTGTGATGGTGTGTCGTGTAAGATGTGATAGTGTGTCATGTAAGGTGTGATGGTGTATCATGTAAGGTGTGATGGTGTATCTTGTAAGGTGTGATTGTGTATCATGTAAGGTGTGATGGTGTATCATGTAAGAATACTCTATGTGCATGTTTCTAGATGACTGTTGTGTATGTGATTCTCCAATGGGATTCTGGATTAGAATAGGACCCTATGTTGGTCGTAAGAGGCAACCAAATGGATCAGTGACCAGGTTGATTCTCTGCCTTTGTGCCCCGATGCTGTGGATTGTTGCTCACAATATCGATCACTCAATTGTCAGGTCCTAACTCGATTATTTACAGGCCGCCATCAAATAGGCAGAATATTGCTGAATGTGGCATTAAAGAATCCATAAGACCTGTCCAGTTTATCTGGAACCTGTCAGTGCAGTCCCATGACTAGCCGCCAGTCTGAAAGCCCAATGCTCAAGTTCAGCTGATGAAAATATCCTATACTGTTATTCCATGAGTTGTTTCTTTTCTTCCAGAGCTCCATTTGATGTGTCCATGGCGGTGTTGATCATTATGATTATAATTATCATATTCTCTTGGCCAGAGAACTATGGTGACAAAACCAGCAACTTCACACAGTTATTTTCTAATGCTTTGCATTCCATTAGAACAGGTTTGTATTACCTCAGTATCATATATCTATATTGTGTATGAGGGGCTGGCCAGTTGATATTATGGGTGGGGACATTTAGAACAAATTAATCTGTTCCCGAAGATCCTTGAAATACTATGTGCCTTGTGCTAAAGTACATCCTTTACTGGACAAGCTGTGAAAATGTTGTGGTTTCAAAAGCATTGTCTGGCTCCTGCTTTCAGAGAAAACAAATTGTATGTCTTACTGAAATGCTAGATTTCAACCCCAGTTTTCCACCCTGAATATTAGATGGTCGGTCACTTTCTAAATTAAGCTGGTTTGTAGTCAAATGTTTTCTTTTTTTTTGTGATATCTAATTCCTTGCCAGACCCAGCAATATCTGGTGAGTACAAGTGATCAGGTCTTGTCACTGTTTGTCTGATGGCTGTGATTACTCCTGATTATAGTCCCAGGTTTGTCAGCACCATACCCATGCTCGTTTCACCAAAGTGGTAAACACCTTACATCTGCCTCACTTTGGGCGTTCCAACCATAAATACTGCAACAGACAGTATGCTGTAAGATACATTTTTAGCACCTATGTTTACACTGACATTTTTTATTTTATTTTGAAATAAGCTTAGAGAAGTTTTTTACTTTAAAAACTTGATTTTAATTTGACCCCCAAAATACACAATAAAACATCCTCAAATATGAGACAAACTTTAAAATATTGACAGGAATACAGTTTACAAAATATTTTTCCATGGGTTTTGATTAATTGAATAGGCTGTATTAACCCGAATTCTGACCAATAATATATCTCTATCATATCATTACCATAAGTCCTGTGTTTCGGCTGTCATCACTCAATAAAAAATCTTCATATTTTCGACAGAAGTCCTCTGCACTGTTAACTGTCCATAACTAGTAGTGCAAGTTACGGCATCTTGCTTCCCAATCCTCCAGCCTCACTACTCTCCTGTATGTGCTTTTGTCAACAGCTTGAGATTTTTTGTCTATTTTTTGTCATTATATCATTAGCACTATAGTTGTCATTTATCACACTGTAAGTAACATTATAAGAGTAGTTAGTCATACTTTACTATTGTTTGAGGATCTAGTGCCTTTTGGCCTACTGTAGCTGGGCAATTGTTACGTGGGTAGAAGATGGCATTGTCGTCTCCACTTACCTGTGTGGTCAGGTTTTCCTCATGAGACTGTCTGGAATTGCCGCCCAACTGATTGCTCAGAGAAGTTGTGATGTTGGCTGTGAATCTGTTACACAGGAGGAGTTTGGTAAGATCGTATAGTCATGGATGATATCTAGGAGGTGGGAGACTGCTAAGGAGCATGTCAACCTTATCAACACCCCCCAATCGAAGATCGTCCCGAAGAGTAATCCTAAAACGCCTCAGAAGAAGCCAAAACTTCTTATAGTTTCAGATGTCCCCTCCCAGCTGGTGACCATGTCTCAGCTATCCCTGAGTGTGCTAAAAGAATTGCTACTAGAAAGTCAGAACATGCCGACCACTGTTCAACAGGCGTATGGCAGCCATTAATTAAAAGAGATCAACTGAGCTATCAGAGAAAGCTGTCAGAAGGGAAGCAAGTATTTTGGCTGGTGCTTTGGAGCTTCAGCGGGAAGATCATGAGATGGCTGATGACTGGTATGGTCGCAATGAGAACAAAGAACATCTGTCCAATTATGGATAGGAAAGAAGACCACCATCTACTGAGACCATGTTTAAATGATGAGACCACCACAGCCAAGACTGTTACACCCAAGACGGCGGTCTGTATGGTACGGTCATGGTCCAGCCAAGAGAGACCACATCGCTGGATATGTCCCATAGTTGATAACTGTAACAGCCACATGTCTTGCAGCCTATGGGTCACCATGCCCGTATGACTGTCCCATGTAGAACCATCCGTAGTGGCGTAAAACCGGTTCCCATACAATCTCGGTCAACCTTTCCATATCGGCCATACCGTCTGCCTTGGTTGTGATGATCCGTAGCTTCCTTGATGGATCCAGTGGCTACTGGTGTACCTCGACCACCACGAGAACTGCAGGGAGTACCGCTAGTATCACTGTTAAACAGTCAAACTCTTTGGAGTAGGCAGGTTCGGATCATCTACCAGTTCACCCAATGATCCACTCTGGGAAAGGTCAGGAAGCTTGCTGCTAGTGCACTCTGAGGTGCACATGCATGTCAGGTCAACCTTTGTCGAATCTGGATGGAGAACCTTTGAGTCTGTATTGTTACGTGCCACATCTTGATGCCAAGTCCATGGACTTAGATGACAGGTCTAAATGTAGATGACTACGAACCGGGTCACTTGATCTGGGAACTTATTGATGAATTTTTCCACTTTATGCCAGATATGAAACCTATCACAGTAGAAACAGTCGTCCCTCAGATGATAGAATCTGGAAACCTTTGATATAGTGTGATGACAGCCGAAATACAGGATTTCTCGCAATTGTGTAATAGGGGCATTAGCCTTTGAGTTATTAACAATGTTAACTATTGTTTGATGTCATAATGGAAACAAAGTCATGCATTCATTTAACCTTTAGCCTGTGGAATTGTTTTAGCATAAGGTGCTGTGAAGAGGGTGCTGGAAAACTACACATTCTATAAAAAAATATCCTCATGTTTTCAATCCTTCCAAGTTAAGACAAAAGCAACCATAAAATTTGTAAATTTTCTTAAACTTACCTAAATTATGTGATTGAAGGTGGTATGCGTTTCATATTAGGAAGCTGTTAAATCGTTAAATTTGTGCAAATTGATTTCTATATTCATATCTCCGATGTCTTACTTTTAACTGAGTATAAATTCTAATAAGTTGTGTTATAAAATTTGCAGGAAACAATAAACACAGGGTTTTACCTTGACTTACAAAAGTGGGGATTCAGGGGATTAATAATTAATATCAAGGGTCCTTGCAGGCAATATGAGGGTCATGAAAAGTAATGAAATGGTATAATGTACTTTATTACTTATCCGTGAAGAGATCACCCGTTTAATAAACATACAGCTGTATTACACATTGTGTTATACCAAAACGCGTGCTTATGTACTCTCAGAACCTGTTTCACGAACAAATATTGAAAGCTCTCATCATCCCTTGGCTTATTCAACGACATTGCGTGTGGAGATGATAGATCACTGAGAGGAGCTTATGCACACTCGATGACCCCAGCAACCTTGTTGCTAGGCTGATGTCACATGGCATTGTTTCGCAGAAGGATCTTGCAACAAAATTCAACAAATTACGTCATCGGGTATTGTGACGTGATTGTAAACTTTGAGGTGCAAGGCCCCATTCCACAAGGCGATCGTACGCTAGCGCAACAACAGTCGTTGGTCTAAGTTAAAGTATATGAGTTGCGATAACCTTAACTCTACGATAATTTTGTGGAACGGACGCCTGAAATCTAAAGGTGGACCGTTGTATGGTATTAAATTCATACGTTTCAACTTTTGACGTGTTTGAAGTATTACTGTGTTAAACTCAATTGGATTATGCCGTGGATCGTGTAGGTGTCAGCCTATTCACACTCAACAGTATAATTCTAAAAACGTTATAAATGGCCAGTAATAAATAAAATACTAAACTCGCTCCTGTGTAAAACCAATTTTATGAAACTCGTGAATAGTTGTGGTATCTTACTCGCTTTCGCTTGTCAGATACCAGAACTATTCACTTGTTTCATAAAATTGGTATTACACGGGAGTTCGTTTAGTATTCTATATGTACATTTAGATAAATACTTCAGAGCCTGGAATGAATAAGTGATCATAGTTGATGGGTGAAATAACAGACACCCATCACTGCTCTTGATGCGCTGTGCTTACAATGAATGTTATTATGTTTCCCTTGGGACGCAGTATAATTATGCCCCGCCACGAAGTGGAAGGGAAATATGGGAATGGGTGCCTTCCGTCCGTCCATCCGTCTGTCCGTCACATTTCCTTCCCAGAGCAGATCTTGAAAACCGTACCATATATCATCACCACACTTGGCACATAGATAGGTCTAGTGTTGAACTGGTGCCTTTTGATAGTTTGGGATTTTTAAAGAAATTATTTTTCTAGTTTCCATGGCAACGACTTGGTAGTCCTCGTTTCCGGGGCAGATCTTGAAAACCTGCCACTTTTCTTAACCAAACGTGGCACATAGATAGGTCTATTGGTGAACTGGTGCCTTTTGATAGTTTGGGGTTTTAAAAAAAAAAAAATTCGAGTTTCCATGGCAACGACTTTGACTTAGACTGAAAATGGCAGTAGTCCTTGTTTCTGGAGAAGATCTTGAAAGCCGTACCATATTTCCAACGTTTATCCCCAACCACAAAGTCGAAGGGGGATGCAGGAATGGGTGCCGTCCATCTGTCTTTCAGTTAGTCCGTTCGTTCGTCACATTTCGTTTCCGGAGCAGATCTTGAAAACTATATCATATTTCTTCACCAAACGTGGCACATAGATAGGTCTATTGGTGAACTGGTGCCTTTTGATAGTTTAGGATTTTTAAAAAAAAATTCGAGTTTCCATGGCAACGACTTTGACTTAGACTGAAAATGGCAGTAGTCCTTGTTTCTGGAGCAGATCTTGAAAGCCGTACCATATTTCCAACATTTATCCCCAACCACAAAGTCGAAGGGGGATGCAGGAATGGGTGCCGTCCATCTGTCTTTCAGTTAGTCCGTCCGTTCGTCACATTTCGTTTCCGGAGCAGATCTTGAAAACTATATCATATTTCTTCACCAAACTTGGCACATAGATAGGTCTAGTGGTGAACTGGTGCCTTTTGATAGTTTGGGATTTTTAAAAAAAAAAAAAAAATTCGAGTTTCCATGGCAACGACATTGACTAAGACTGAAAATGGTGGTAGTCCTCGATTCAGGAGCAGATCTGGAAAACCGTAAGATATTTCTTCCCCAAACTTGGCACATAATGTCATCTCGCAGTATTAAATACATTTCCTTTCTTGTTGGTAAGTTCTGCATTGCTTGTGTGTATGTTCCTCCAAAAGTGACATCGACACGGTTGTTGCATTCACTGACTAACTTCATGCAGAAACACAACTCATTACAAATACAACAGTGTAACTGATCTTAAACCTACTCAACTGTATAAACACTGCCTCCTATCCTGTATATATTCTTGTCAACCATACTCTGTACTTCACTTGCTTGATAACAGTGTTAGAACCTACACTGAAACTATTGCTCCTAATTGTAATAAAGAAGTTGTTCGTCCATATGTCTCATCCTTACTCATTACAAATTCAGTTACATGTTCTATCATAAACTGCAGATGGCAAAACAACACCAGTAACATCTTTTTTTAGTGCTGCAATTAGGCCATTTACAAAAAGACCCAGTTGAGATAGTTCACAGGAGCTAATGCACTGCACACAACCGGATATGTCATATTGGCGGGGGAAATGAGTATTTCATGCTTGTTTTCTTCTGCTTCCATTCTCTACATTTGTGCATTGTGTAAAACCCTGTAAATGACTTATAAATGTTCATCAATCCTAATTTCAAATGTTTTGGTTGAAAATTTACGATATACGAAAATACAAATCCCATGTTGTGATACTAGTATGAAAATCTAACATGGAGCGCTTTGCTAGGCCTCAGCTTTATGCTATTTGAATATCAACAAAGTTTACATTGCCTTCATATAGGCAATTAAATTTTGAAATATTTCGCCTGTCACAACCAGACTAAACACAAATCACTACATAGTATCAGTAATCACCACAAATATGAAATAAAAAAGACGACATTGACGATATAATTGGCATGTTATTTAATCCGTTTGACCTTGCATGCTCCCATGACCCGGAAACAGTAGATGAATGAACTTGCCATATGCAAGTTTCTCAGTATCTTTTATTTGAACTTTTGTTGAAAGGATCACCATTTGATGTTACGTTGAATATAAAGGGAAAAGATTCATATATCTGTGTTGCAATTTTTGGCAATTGTAAGATTTCACAATATCCACTTACCGATTTCTTTTGTATTTTCATTGTTTACGTAATCATTAAATTATTATCAAAAAGATCTTTTAAAAATATATTTCATCACCTACTTTCCGATAACAGTGGCTTTCCGCTCATTAACTTGAGAAAATACCGGGAAATTCCTCCGTTTTTGAAACTTTGTGTGAACAACACGTGAAGATTTTCATTTGGTTTGAAAGCTTGGAACATCCATAATATTTCAGTAACCTCGCCAGGGGTATATTTATAGTTGTAATATGCATTTTTATAAGATAGAATTTGGTTTCCCTTGACGCTTTTTTTACTGAAATCTGCTGCGATGATCGTGATTGGTCAAATTCAAGCATAAGACCTAAGACTCTTAGGTCTTATGCTTAGGTTTGGCTTAGGTTACGAGAAAATACGCTTTTTTTACAGAAATCTGCTGCGATGATCGTGATTGGTCAAATTCAAGCATAAGAGTCTTAGGTCTTAGGCGTATTTTCTTGTAAACTAAGCCAGACACAGCAATCAGCTGTACACACGTTTTCTTGGAATCTACCGGTGATTCGGTCAAGACACACCCAATGATATAACTTTACAGGATTTTAATGCAAGGATCGGCAAAAATTGTATCTGAAACAATTTTTTTATCAGGAATAATATATTCCAATATCTTGTTAATTTAGATGCAGCTTTTACTAAATATATTAAAAATAATAATAACCCTAAACGAAGCAGCTGATCGCTATTGCCGGCTAAGACAGTCAATCAAATTACAGCATTGGATACCGTCCTTGTGTATCTGAAGAACTGCTGCTGAATTGCATGAAATGACTTATGAAGTGTTTGTCAAGTAAGTTAAAAATAGGCAGTCGCTAGTGAATATTATGGCTATCGGTATGAAGTATCCTGAAGGCTTAACAGAAAATGTGATAAGAAGAATCTTCGTTTAGACACTTGGTAGGTAGAACATATACGATATGTGTGAAAGTTCCTTTATAAATTGAACAAATTTCAGTGTGATAGGAAGCTAAACTTGATGCGATATGCACCTCCAATGGGACAAATGTTAGTAGTAAAAGTTCCACCAGAACTTATTTACCCACAGAAGCAAATCTTGTTTACAACAGTGTGTGAGAAAGTAGCACCATAAGTCAAGCCATGAGAATGTTACTGAATTTGACAATACACTCTCTAAGTATTTGTTGGTCATTTTATAGCAACATTAAGTAAGATCAGTAGTGCTTCTGAATAAATATTATCATTTTATAATGCGCTTATCAGCAAACTTAAAATATTAATACCAGAGGCAGTCCAATCAGATTGCAGGATTCATTATTAGAGCAAGAACCTTGCATAGTGTGATATATGTTTTAAAATCCCTTTTAGCATTCCTTCATGTATGATTTAGATTTCATAGAAATATCTTTTCATTCACCGTTGTGTTCATGGCCCTTGGTACCTTCAGTTTTCTCAAGATTCTTTCAAAATCTAATGCTGTTAATATATGGAAGGCTTTTTTCCTTAGTTTGCCTCTTTCTGTTGAAATGAAACCAGGATATTCATGTCAGGCATGTTAAGCTTCATTTAGAGGACAAGTAAAGTGAACATAGCAACGTTGCAGTTTTAATACGTTTGGGCATGCTAAAATACAAATGCTTAACTGAAATCAATTTGAAAAATGGAAATAGCGTAAAACAGACAATATAAAATGAGAGGCTAAAAAGAAAAAATTGGCCACTGGGGTTAAAATTAGTTCCTGGTGTTTGTGGAACTGAACAGGACGGTGCCTAATGTGTCCACTTCTCCCTCCATTTTGATTGCATTATATTTTGTTTCTGCCTGATCATCCTTTTGATTTCTGTGTTCACAGCTTACACCAAGAATTGGGACAACATAGAATGTGCCTTCAGTAACTTGTCTAGTCGAGATTAATCTCTGACAGTCATTCATTGTGTGGAATAGGACAGAAGGCATGTGATTAATGGTACCCAAACAGGGTATTTGTCATAAAAAGCTACTTACAGACATTATTCGTTGATCTTGTGTGTTTATATGCTGATTTCACAATTAAATTCCTGTACAAACTGATTTTTGGGTTATGCTCCATTTGGAAGGCACCTCATTACAATATTGTTATTGACGTTACAGATAACAAAGTGCTGTATCTTGGTTTGATCCAGTCCTTGTTTGAGGGTTCCATGTATGTGTTTGTATTGGAGTGGACCCCAGCACTCACACCCAAGGCACCAGACGCGGATGTTTCTGCCAAACGCCACCTACTGGAGGATAACAACGGACATAGGACAATTCCACATGGTCACATTTTTGCTGCATTCATGGTAAGTAACCATGATTGTACACAGGCATGAAGCTGTCCAAGTTATTGACCAGTTTAAATGATGCATATTGATACCAGTCTGAGCATTTATATTTGGTTGCATTTTCTGAGATTCTGCAAGTAAAAGATTAAAGATTAAAGATGCCTGTTAACATCTTTATTTAATGGGAGGATGTCATGATGATGTGATCTTTAAATTACCTCCCCAGTGATCTAATGAATCCTTGGTAACATTGTTCTATTGTTTGTGTCAATCAAGATGACACATCCACATGAAATATATTCTAACAATGAATTTGATTAAACAATAATCACATTGTCAATCATGAGAAGGAAAAACAAATAATGCTTTCATTCCTCATCCCCTTTTGAACATGAAGTCGGTATGTTGGTATTCTCAGCAGCCCATGAGTCTAAATTAGATGATGTAAACCATTTCCCATGCCCACAGGGTTGCCCCACACATACACAAACCGCTGGACCTGTGAAGATCCAGGTTGTAATAGGTCTTCAGCAACCGATGCTTGTTATAAAAGGAGTGTATTGGGTGGTCAGGCTCACTGACTTGTTTGATGAATGTCATCGTATTCTAATTGCATGGATCGAAGCTCATGATGTCAATCATTGTATTGTCTGGTCCAGATTGATTATTTACAGACCGCTGCCATCATATAGCTGGAATATTGCTGAGTGCGGCAACACAAACCACTGTCCATGCCACAGCAGCAGACGAGTTCTCTCAGGCAGGCGGTCGTACACTAGGGATTATGTCATGAATTTATTGCTTTATTGCATAATGTTTTTTATTGCCTTCAATTTCAGGTGGCTGTGATGTTCGGCTCATCGGTTTTCAAAGTTTTGTCCAAATTCACGTCTATAGAGTCTTTTATGAGGTAAATTTTGTTTTGTATTATCATCTATTACTTACAAAGCCATATTGAACATGGTTGTATTAGCATCTGTTATTGATAAAGCCATATTGAACATGGTTGTATTAGCATCTGTTATTGATAAAGCCATATTGAACATGGTTGTAGCATCTGTTACTGACAAAGCCATATTGAACATGCTTGTATTAGCATCTGTTACTGACAAAGCCATATTGAACATGCTTGTATTAGCATCTGTTACTGACAAAGCCATATTGAACATGCTTGTATTAGCATCTGTTACCGACAAAGCCATATTGAACATGGTTGTATTAGCATCTGTTACTGACAAAGCCATATTGAACATGGTTGTATTAGCATCTGTTACTGACAAAGCCATATTGAACATGGTTGTATTAGCATCTGTTACTGACAAAGCCATATTGAACATGCTTGTATTAGCATCTGTTACCGACAAAGCCATATTGAACATGCTTGTATTAGCATCTGTTACCGACAAAGCCATATTGAACATGGTTGTATTAGCATCTGTTACTGACAAAGCCATATTGAACATGGTTGTATTAGCATCTGTTACTGACAAAGCCATATTGAACATGGTTGTATTAGCATCTGTTACCGACAAAGCCATATTGAACATGGTTGTATTAGCATCTGTTACTGACAAAGCCATATTGAACATGGTTGTATTAGCATCTGTTACTGACAAAGCCATATTGAACATGGTTGTATTAGCATCTGTTACCGACAAAGCCATATTGAACATGGTTGTATTAGCATCTGTTACTGACAAAGCCATATTGAACATGGTTGTATTAGCATCTGTTACCGACAAAGCCATATTGAACATGGTTGTATTAGCATCTGTTACTGACAAAGCCATATTGAATATGGTTGTATTAGCATCTGTTACTGACAAAGCCATATTGAACATGGTTGTATTAGCATCTGTTACTGACAAAGCCATATTGAACATGGTTGTATTAGCATCTGTTACTGACAAAGCCATATTGAACATGGTTGTTTTGCATGTTATTACTCTAATTGTTTCTTGGTTTGTCAGCACCCATGTACAATCTTAACTTCCCTCCCACATCAAGCTGACACATGATCATATTAGTGACATTTAGTTGAAAGAGGCAATAAACCAAACTCATACACTTTTATCTATAGTTGTAGTAGTTGATTGGATTTCATTCCCACACTCCTATAAACCAACCCACTCGTGTTCTGAGATATTTAACTTGGCTCATGTATTTTGGAAGTACCAAAGACAAATTTTAGGCAGAACCAACACTATCTCTATAAATATATCTCTCAAATAATAAGTTGATGGACAAAGCTTTTACTCTACCAGTCCTAATCACGTCTTTTCCAGTAGATTATGATCTTTTCTTACATAAACTGGATCAAAAGGAATTTTGGAGGACCCCAGCTTCAGACTTGTGGCTTATAGGCACTGACTGATCCATGTCATGCAACAGCAGCAGCAGCAGCAGCAGCAGCAGCAGCAGCAAAGGATCATCCTTCCATGCAAATATATTTCATGTTGAAAAGTGTGATACATGCATTCTTTATATATTTATGCACTGGTCTCTTATGAGTGATATCTGACGCTATGAGTGATATCTGACTATGTGAGAGTGTCAGAAGTATTGTTGATGGTTAATAAAGTTCAGCTAACTTTTGATGTTGCCTCTCTGAAATGTTCTTATTACTTTCAGACCAGTGCTGTTCACATCTGCCCTTAGTCTGCTGACACCTATACTATTCCCAGGGGTAAGTACATGTCTTGTTCTTTCAGCATGTATCACAGCTAGGGCTTCAAAGAGTCCTCAAGTACTCGAGGCAGGCACAGCAGAGTTTAATGGGACTCGAGTCCAGTTTGAAAGACTAGAGTACTAGGGCAGGCACGCGCAGAGTTTAGTGGGACTCGAGTCCAGTTTGAAAGACTAGAGTACTAGGGCAGGCATGCGCAGAGTTTAGTGGGACTCGAGTCCAGTTTGAAAGACTCGAGTACTCAGGCAGGGGCAGAGTTTAGCGGGACTCTAGTCCAGTTTGAAAGACTCGAGTACTCAGGCACGGGCAGAGTTAAGTGGGACTCTAGTCCAGTTTGAAAGACTCGAGTACTCGGGCAGGGGCAGAGTTTAGTGGGACTCTAGTCCAGTTTGAAAGACTCGAGTACTCAGGCACGGGCAGAGTTAAGTGGGACTTGAGTCCAGTTTGAAAGACTCGAGTACTCGGGCAGGCACGCACAGAGTTTAGTGGGACTTGTGTCCAGTTTGAAAGACTCGAGAACTCAGGCAGGGGCAGAGTTTAGTGGGGCTCGAGTTCAGTTTGAAAGACTCGAGTACTCGCCCAAAGGAGATAACTCTAATTTGGTCGACTTTCAATAAGTTAATAGAAACATTTCTTTATGTAACTTTCTTTTTCATGAGTGATCAATTGAATCAAATAAAAGTGTCAATAACTTTTAGTTATTTTTTGAAACAATACACTTATTTACAACCATTTCATAAGGATATTTCCTGGTTTACTTTATTTCTTGTTTAAAGGGATGTTTTATGAAACTATTAAACTGTCGCAAGCAGTAGACGTATTCATTCTAAATTAGCGTCGTTACGTTAATCATTATTAATCCAATATATTCATAAGATATTTATAACTGGACATCACTTTATTGAATATTAACACTTTATTGAATATTAACATTGTGTTACTGTATCTCATTCTAATTATCCCTTCAAATGTCGGCGAAAGTCTTATAGAAGTCAGCTATAAATTTACAAGCCTAGTTATCTTTCACTGTTTTGTTTTCAATTAAGAAAAGGTAAATAATGACTTGTGAACTTGTGATAACATTGAAAATGTTACTTTTAACTTATTTTCTCTATTTTTTCATTTATTGACAATTTCCTTCAGTGCTGGCATCAAATGATCTTTTTTATCACATAAGAAGCCAGCCCGCAAAAATCAAGCCAATCACAAATCGCAACATACATCACATGAAGATCACGTGTGCAATATTTTTTTCACCCTGAACTTGGCATGTGTTACATTGAGATGTAAACGATTTCTCTTCCCAAGTTGACAATTCTTATTGCAATGAAGCTTGAAATTTCAAAGGTATTTTATTTGATACGCGATCACATTGGTTTTCTTAGTGATCTACGAGGTCATTGTGACGCTTTCATTTTGTATATGATAGGATAATTGCAAATTTATTGAACAGATGTATAATTACGGGTACTCGAGCACGAGCCGAGTCTTACCCCTGGGGTACTCGAGTCCATATTTTTGGACCCGTTGAAGCCCTAATCACAGCTATTGTCAGATCTACTCACACCAAATGGATTTGATCTGCCCCAAGGCAACCCTATTTGCTCAGCAGATTTGCATCCCTAATCCATCCTTTTCAAAAAGGCATAAAAGCAATTCACCCACTTACTCATACTCAAGTGATACCCAGAAGAGATTGCTTTCCATGTTACCAATTAAGTAAGCAGCCCTATGTCCAAATTTAACTGCTGCTGCATTTTGTTTTTAAGATTATGCAGTGCCTAGACATCACGGGGATATCATAGCATGTGAAGCTCGGGAAATGGTTTTGATAGATTGATCAGTTATGTCAAGGTGACAAGAAGGTCATAGCCTGAATTCACCTGTGCATTAAAATGACTACATGTATAAGTAGATTAAAGTTGGACCAAGTCTTTAGTTCAGCACTCAACTTGGTATGTTGGCCGATGTTTCCAAAATAGGTTTCACCAGATGTGCTAAACCTAAGGCAGGATGTTTGTCACCATTAAAAGGCTGAACTGTTATAAATTCAATAAAATTAATAATTTTCTCTTTTTTCAGAAGACTTGAAAACCAGTTAGAATTCACTTTATGCAAATGTTAAGGACAAAGTTTCAAGTGTCTTGAGGTTGTCAGCCAATCAACAGGTTGCTGAGGTGATTAGGTGTGCACAATCTCTTCTCAGTGATCAGTCATCTCCACATGCTATGTCATTGAATATACCAAATGATGCTGAGAGTTTTAAAACTTTTTCACTGAAGATAACACAATTTATGAAAGTATTTATATTTTCAACACTTTGTTTGTTTTTCCATTTCAACTTTATTAATGGGATGAAATGTTTATTAATGGGATCTGACACACAACTAGAAAGCATCACAAATTCGCCTGACTGAAAACTATCCATCTACTGTGGGCCGTCTTTAGGTTGTGATGACAAGAATTAATGAGAGCTGTGTAGGAGGTCAAAGGGCTTCTACCCCCTTCTCATGCCATTTAGGGCACAGCGGAATACATTGTCAACAGGAAAGTGATCAACTTCCACCCCATGCCACTTTCATTCTTTGAGTCAAAGACCGACTCCTCCTCATGAAGTCAGTATCAGTGTTTGCAATAATTACCTGCTCATAGCTATGGACTGGGACATTTCCTCTGGGGACAGTCGTTTCAATTTTGTATGTGTCCTTATGATCTGTGTAAAGTTGATTTATTTGCCACCATTAACCTGTAGTTTCTTGTTGTTTTTTACTTGACACATATTTTCAACTAGTCCCTTGACATACGTACATTTTAATTTATGGAAACTATAGTTAGTCTCAATTGCTTTCAGTCGATATGAGCATATAACCAGCTTCTTACAGTGTAACTTTTAGATTTTGCACTTGAAGTGTTCATCACTGACTCTCATCAACATGTGGTGTTATGTTGATGGAGCAGTGAGCCATTATAGTTGGAATTTTGCTCTTGCGTAACAACCAACAAAACAACCTATCAAACATTGTTTCAGTCATGTCAGTTAGTGCTCTTGGTATTTATGCAGAAAAAAATCTTTGTATATCTATGCTGACTGCATCTTAATTTAGAAGCAATCTGCCATTTTTATCTTTAGTTTGGGTACAAAATGTTTGTTTGAAGCTTAACAACTACACTCATGTTCATTTCAGAACCAGGTGGTCATATTCTCAGGCTTCCTGGTGTTCGAGATGTGTGTTGGGATCTTTTGGCCCTCCCTTGGCACAATGAGGGGGAAATATGTACCTGAAGCAAGTGAGTTTTCACAATCAATGTTAATTCTACCTTGACATTGAAGAATGCTTGATTCTGATTGGTTAAAATGAGGTATCAGATTTCCATTTGATATCTCTAAATTAAACTTTTTCACACAAACAATGTGCATATGTATACAACGATAGTCTACTTATCAATCCATAAAATAGTGGCTACCGATAACACATCAGTATATGTTGGTTATCTGAACATTATCAGATGTTTTGGACCACAATGTTGACGTTCTAGACCATAACCCTGACTGGTTTGACGAGGAGATGACAACACTAAACAAAAACGTTTTATTTGCATACGAATGGTCAGGTTTATAAATGTTATGGGGACATGTTCAGTAATTTCCTCAAATGATAATAGAAGTAAAATGAAACATTAGAAAAGTGAAAAAATAACAAATGACATATTACAAAACTTATAGTGACAGATATTCATTGCAATGTTGAAGAACCAAGTGTTTGTTAGTAAGGACAATGTCTTTCTGGGGATGCTTTGAAATTTTTGGAGTTGGAAGTAGTGAATCACTATGAGCCTATTGGTCATGGTAGCTCTTGGTATGAGAGGTCTTGAATCTACAGTGAGACAATCTCAAATTTCAAAAGTAGGTATTTCTCCTAAAATGATCACTATAACAGCAACGCAAGAATCTATAAAATGTTTGAGTATACCCTACCTCTATTACATCATAGCCATGAATCAATTTACACACTATAAAATCTTCTAAAGGAGTCCTTTTCTCTGTCAACTGTCCATAATCTTGCTACTCGTACCTCATGTACATGCGTAAGGTCGGAAAACCTCCCTTCTTTCCTGTGTATGTTTGTGGCAACAACGAAAAGTTGACATAGCACATTATAGATTTGGTAGTTGTCCCGCTCTATTAGATCTTCAGTATAGCCAAGGTTTGGGTAATCATTGTACCGAGATCCATCTTAAAAAGATTATATAATTGTTTATCTTAGTTACTCGTAGTGACGTAGTTGCTAGGGAAGACTTGTGTTTGGCATCAACATGGCTCTGCAGACCCAAACCCACATCATCTTCCTGAAAGAACGGTTGTCACTTCAGGATCACCATAAACACACTCTAACTTTGTTAGAATACAGACCTATGAGATGTAGAGGTGTACTCAGTGCTCATCTCTTATGGAGGTGGTTGTCAAGGCAAAAGGCCCAGAAAAAGGAGACTGAGGGACTCTCCTCCATGTCTACGGTTTCGGGACCTAGATGTCCCCCAGCCAAGAGGCTATGAGGAGGACAGGAAGATCTCCAGACATACATCCCACACTGTCCTTAGAGATTCAGTGGTCAACATAGATGTCATGCCCTCCTTCTCCTTGAACATGTTAGAAAATATGTTGGAGAAACATGAGGAAGGGATGCAGGCCATGTTTAATAACAGATTTACTGACCTAGCTGACCTAAAGAAGAAACAGTCACCTCTGCAGACCCATAAGAATCCCCTGGCCAAGAGTCCTGTACGAGGACAAACAGTTTTAGTTCAGTTAATATGGATTGAAGGAACTACTTAGAAGCCTTCTAACTTCAAGCTTGGGCAGGGTGGGTCTCTATGAAGAAACCCATCAAGTCAGCTTTGAAGAATCTACTTCATAACTGTCACGGACACCATACAATGGTTTGGGTAGTTGAGTAAGAAACCCATTACACATCATGGCCACCATGGTATATTGCAGACACAGGTCCAAGATTACCACGGGTTGACTGATGGGAATAAAAACGGTCAGGATGAAGACTACTTTAGGCTAGTAGTGTCCAACATGAAGGTAACCTTGCTGATTTCCAGGATCAACAGGTCTGCGCTGGGCATTGGAGCAGACATGAATTGGTTTGTAGTTTTACACTGCCGCTACAAGAGTCTAATGAGAGTATCTCTGGAGATAGCCCAGTATCCAACATACCAAGTCAGATTGGTTCAAAGTCAGCAGTCATCAGGATACAGGAAGAAATTCTCTGGGAGTGTAAACGATATATAGAACTATCGAACTATAAAACTACAGCAATCGTTTGTCCTACGATTGTACAATATCGATAAGAATTTTTATAAGCCAACAGTATCATCAATAGTATGCTTAACAATTGATAGTTTCATATTTATAAATAATACATATATGCAAATTTCAAAGGTCCCTGTGTGGATGGTTAACAAGGATTACAACAGTTTCAGATTAGAGATACTTTCCTTGTGTTTGAGTAGTGACAGGAAGAAAAATGGCTGTCTTTGAGATTGACAGCAATACATTATTTATTTCTACTACATTGATTAATATAATTTTCAAGACTTAAAGTTGCTTTACACTATTGCAATACTGTTGAAATAGTTGACAACTGTCACAATACTATTGCCATAGTGTGGGCTGCTATTGCAATACAATGACAGTAGTGAAAATAATCCCAATAGTCTCCCCAAGAAGCAAGCTGTAGGGACCTACAGCATTCCAAAGAGGGGCCTCTTTCTTGTGAAGGGTAATTAGATGGTACTTGACTCTGCAATGCCCAGTAACTCGGATTTTGACCTTTGCAGTTGAAAGACCTTATCTGTTTTACCATGCTCTCATATATTTTTCTCCTCTGATACTGCTGAACTGATGACAATTTGGCATGCAGACTCCTTCTTATGAAGACGTCGTTTCTTGTTTAAATAAATGTAAAGAATCTTGGCACAACGCTTAAACTTTGTGTGAATGTAATGACAAGGCACCACTATTGTCATCAATTTATTACTTCATAAGTCAGGTGAGCTACAGAGCCTTGTGTTATCTTATCACATTCCTGATGTTTTCTTCTGTCGTGAGCGTTGTTTGATGGTAAACATGAAATAAAATCTCATTATTTAAATCAGAATGGTTCTGATACAGTCCTCATGAAGCAGAATCTGCCCTTCTTGATCTACCCAGTGTTATATGCCCTCCAGTACATAGGTACCTTGATCTACCCATTGTTAGATGCCCAACAATACATAGGTATCTTTAATAAAGAAATGGGTTCTGCGTGCGTGCGTGCGTGCGTGCGTGCGTGCGTGCGTGCGTGCGTGCCGAAATCGTTTCCGGAGCATAACTCAGAAACCGTTAAATATTTGCATGTCTATCAGACTCATGCTGAACTAGTGCCTTTTTTCCTATTTAGGAATTTTATAAATTTTTATTTTTTACGTTTCCATTGCAACAAGTTGGACTTAGGTTCTGTAAGGGTGCTGTTCGTTTCTGGAGCGTAACTCAAAAACTGTTAAATACTTTCTTACAAAACTTTGCATGTTTACCAGACACATACTGAACTGGTGCCTTTTGCTATTTAGGAGTTTTATAAATTTTTATTTTTTACGTTTCCATGGCAACAAGTTGGACTTAGGTTCTATAAGGGTGGTGTTCGTTTCCGCAGCGTAACTCAAAAACCGTTAAATAATTTCTTACAAAACTTTGCATGTTTACCAGACACATACTGAACTGGTGCCTTTTGCTATTTAGGAGTTTTATAATTTTTTATGTTTTATTTTCCATGGCAACAAGTTGGACTTAGGTTCTATAGGGTAGAGTTTGTTTCCGGAGCATAACTCAAAACCCATTCAATACTTTCCAACAAAAACTGTCCATGTTTACCAGACACATACCGGACTGGTGCCTCTTGATATATAGCACTTTTAGAAATTTTTATTGTTTATGTTTCCATGACAACAAGTTGGATTTAAGTTTTAATATAGGATTGGTTTACTTAAAGCCCATCCCTGACTATAAATAGCCCGCAAGGTGGCGGTGTTTCAGTTTCGAACAATGACTGACAATGTAAACACAACCGAGTGTCGAGAGACGTTTTTTGAAAACCATACGGGAACAAGATCACCATTGACCGTCAAACTTCGTATCAACTTGAATGACAAACCATGGATACAACAAATGGCTCCATATCAAGATAGAAGTCAATAAATTTTCTGTAGTTTTATCCTAAAAAATCGAATCGATCGTGTTTGGCGTCTGCATCGATCACAGTGGCCGGAGCTTATTTACGTTTGCGCTATAAATAGCAAAGCACATGGTCATGTGTATTGTGTTATATATTTTTACGGCAGAACAGCAGCAGAACATCAGTTTCAGTTAATGTAACAGTAACGATACTTAAATACGAAATTGACGACGCGATTCTTTCAGTTCAATCCGAAAATTACAAATATTTGTTTAGTTTTGGTCATTTGCATTCAACAGTTAGATTTGTGCCACACAATAATCAGTTTATATTCATAAAACGTAAATTATTACAGAGATTTTTCAACTAGTGTTTAGGAAGGGGCCTTATTTGAAGCACCAGAAGTTGCGCCAATATTTCTCAGCTTGACTACAATAGATGAATATGTTATGTGTATCAACATAACAATGCACATAAGCAACTGGTAAATAAGTAACTGAATATACTTGATGTTTTGGCCTACAGAAGGCGTATCCAGATAATATTGTACTTATAAAGACAAACGATAAACGAAAACTCCAATACACATATTCCAAGACAACTTTAATTATGAATTTCCTTTTCTTTCACAGAATTTTCACACACAAAACTGAGTTTGATCATTAGATCCACACTTGTCCCATGTATTTTTTGTTCGGGGTATTTGGATACACTTCGCGCACAAGTTTTAAAATACAATCTGGGATCCCTTTCCCGTTTTGTCCACACCAATCCTTCATTTGCTGCAACGTATAATTCCGTTTCTTCAAGTCCAAGTATCTACGATCTCTCCAAACACTTCGTTTATTTAGCTCAGTCCAGAAACACTGTGTTCGAATCGACGAATTTCTGCAACATGGTGGCCGCACCATTCCCTAACTGCGATTGTCTGTGCTGTGTCACGCATGGTTGACAAAAGAAGTGTGAACATACATATTCGGCTTCATCTGGTTCCACAATGAAATCTCGCTGTGACACTGATTCACTACTCCCAAGAATCGGCACTGAATTTGTCAAAGTTTCTGTTGCACTTGCAAGGGCAGGAAGAGAGGCGCCATCTTGTCAATTCGAGTTGTGAATCGGAATGAAGTCATCTTGAATTGGAATTTTCTCCACGATAAAGTCACCAATGTCACAATCGAAATGACCAAAGGCTTCCTGATTATCTCGAACAACTCTCCGTCAAATTAGGATTTACATGAAAATGTTTTGTTGCTCATATTGAAGACAAGCGAAATTGCAAAGTTCTTGTCAGTTGTAAGCAGCAACTCGATGCACTCATGGAGCGTGGTTGCTAGGAGATCACGAGGTCAGAAAGGGGAAAACAAAAAGTTTTATAAAGTAATAAAAGAAATCGGCAGTGCAATCCCAAAGTACCATGTACAGGATATTTTTTAATAATAATATTCACGAAAAACAATCTTTTCTAAAAGTGCAAATTAATTTATTAATTCATCCCAAGGTCGTAACCCTGATCACGTGGTGGGTATTTGGAAGGAATCTTGTGATGAAGCCGTCAATGAGGCCGTGTGTATTACATTGTTGAATTCAACTGACCAGGAAGGTTGTTGAGGCACATTATGACAGATGCTCGTCATGGATGGAGAAAAAAATGTATCTGAGAGAAACATTGTTGCTTTGAGCTTCGCGACAAAACATGTGTTTATGCCGAAGTAGTTTACAAGAGAGGATGATCTGTGCAGCCAGCGACCTGAATAAGCTTGATGAAAATAATGTTGAAATCCATTTTCTCGCACATGACAGAATTAATGTGAACAAATATTTATTTGAACATCGTTTCGAAGTCTGTGAGGCTGTCCGTATTTTAATATTCTTATTTCCATTGCGACGTGAAATAATATAATGTTTTCGTGTCTTAATTTTGCTGCCGCTGTGGAAAATTGCGCACCGATCTATTAAAAGAAATACTACTAGCTCAACTTTATAAAAGAACCAGATCAACTTTATCTTTGTTCTGTTGTTTATTAAAAATTCGCTTCCGAGGCAAAGCGAATCGATCTACATAATAAACAAATTCATAGACTAGATTCTAGTACCAAGTGTTTAAACTTTTTTTTTAAATGTCATAAAATAACTTACACAAATTGAAAGACATTTTTTGATAAGTAATATATATTTTATCTCGTCCGGACGCTCTCTGGTTAGTTTAGGCTTGAGGGGAGAAACACATACAAAAAATATGGATGGCCTTATGCAAATGACACTTGGCATGCCAATCAAGAGGGATCTGGGTCACTGGGACCCGCCAAGTTTCACGGATCGAGTTACTTCGGCATGAAGAGCTTCATGGGACAAGTGTGACTTTGCAAAAATGTCACGGAAACGACAAAAAACTACTTTGATCACGTGAAAATATTTTTGACCATTACCAGGGTTTTTTACACGATCGTTGTCATCCAGATTCCAGATGAAGGCAAGATGAACACAACGAAGAAAAACACTGTTGAAATCACCGATTATCGTGTATATGTGAAAAATGCTATTTATAAACTGCAGATATAACGTACACCACAGGATAACGATTGGTGCCGTGACACATATTATGTTTTTTTTGTGTTCAATTACACTGTTCATATTCATCACGACAAACATATTAATTCGTTGTCATCAGGAGATCTAGAATAGCTCAGAACAAGAACGTCTATGATTTCTGTGTTGGACTGCGTTGGATATATCGTGGACATTCCGCGGTATCATTTTATGAAGATGTGAAGACGACATGGCAGGTAGGTTTTGAAACCAAAGACCTACGCGTTTGTTGAAAAGTCTTGGAATCGTTTGATAGATATTTATATTACCATTAAAACTTACGTCCTTGTTGTCAAACGGCCCACGTGGGTGGGTGTTTACATGACGTCACCCGTTTACGCAATAACCAATAAAATGTGTGTGTTATCATGACGTCATATTGACCTGTCAGATCACTCGTATAAGCTCCGCCCACTAGAGTGCGGTAGTTCCTACCGCAGATGGGGCTTGAAGTAGTATAACAAATAAACTGTTAAATATTTCCTTGCCAAACATTGCATGTCTATATATAAAGCACATACTGAACTAGTGCAATTTGATATTAAGGAGTTTTAGAAATGTTTATTTTAGAATTTCCATTGCAGCTATTTTGACATGGGCTAAGAGAAATGTTGGGTCAGTTACCTGGTTTGGGACCATAACGTGTTAAAATGGGTGGGGGATATAGATGACTTTGTCAACTATACGCTTGTTTACTTGGTGCTAGGTGCCCTTCAGTACATAGATGCCTTGATCTACCTGGTGCTTGATGCCGTTCAGTACAAAGATACCTTCATTAACCTGATGCTAGATGCCCGCCAGTACATAGGTCCCTTGATCTACCTGGTTCTAGGTGCCCTTCAGTACATAGGTACCTTGATCTACCTGGTGCTAGATGCCCTCCAGTACATAGGTCCCTTGACCTACCTGGTGCTGGATGCCCTTCTGTATATAGATACCTTGATCTACCTGGTGCTGGATGCCCTTCAGTACATAGGTCCCTTGATCTACCTGGTGCTAGGTGCCCTCCAGAACATAGGTCCCTTGATCTACCCAGTGTTGGATGCCCTTCAGTACATAGATGCCTTGATCTACCCAGTGTTAGATGCCCTTCAGTACATAGGTCCCTTGATCTACCTGGTTCTAGATGCCCTTCAGTACATAGGTACCTTGATCTACCTGGTGCTAGATGCCCTTCAGTACATAGATGCCTTGATCTACCCAGTGTTAGATGCCCTTCAGTACATAGGTCCCTTGATCTACCTGGTTCTAGATGCCCTTCAGTACATAGGTACCTTGATCTACCTGGTTCTAGATGCCCTTCAGTACATAGGTCCCTTGGTCTACCCGGTGTTAAATGCCCTTCAGTACATAGATGCCTTGACCTACGTGGTGCTAGGTGCCCTTCAATACATAGATGCCTTGATCTACCCGGTGTTAGGTGCCCTTCAGTACATAGATGCCTTGACCTACATGGTGCTAGGTGCCCTTCAGTACATAGATGCCTTGATCTACCTGGTGCTATTTGCCCTTCAGTACATAGATGCCTTGATCTTCCTGGTGCTGGCTGCATCCTCAAACATTGATACTTAACTGTTTTTATTAATGCAATACAGAGCTCCAGATAAGCTTTTGGTGTTGTGGGTATTTTACCCATGCATTTTAAAATCACTGGGTATCAGTAATTCTATCTGGGTATTCACATTTCTGTTACCCACTAGTTTTTACACATGTGGGTATTTAAGTTAAATATTTAAAAACACTATTCATCTAGTCCCTGCAAACTGGTGTTGTGTGGGTTCGAGAGCTTTATAGGTCTCAAAAATACCACAATACTTCCACAAGAAAGTGTGATGGCAAATGATCATCGTGGAGTTTGGCAAGGTTGACGGAATGCCCGTTTATAATTTCAAAATAAGTTGCTGATTTGCCAATCGAATACGCAGGGTTACTTCACAACATTTTGATGATACGCACAAGCTATATTTCCTTTTCCTTTCATTTTTAGCCCGGGCCACCATAATGAATGTTTTCCGGGTTCCTCTCAACCTGCTTGTTGTGGTCATCCTTCTGCAAGTGAGTACTCAACACAATATACAAGACACATTCATATTTCTCAGTCACTTATCAAAGACTTTGCAAACGATTATGTGATATATACAGGGATTACCAGCATATTTCCTTTTGTCCACAGAACCTGCCAATCAACACCATCTTCCTGTGCTGTGTGTTTTTCCTATCCCTTGCTGCATTTTTCCAGCACCTACTGTTCCAGTAAGTACTTGGATGATCTCTCCTTGCATGACATAGATGCCAATTCAATCCACTTTGTTTCCACTGTGTACCATCTTTTGTCATTCCAATACTTTCACTTATCATCATGTGATCCAAAACTGCAATAATTCTTACCAGCTAGTAAGTTAGTAATTAAAAAAATGCTTCCTCGAAAACATCTTTGCCAGAAATCCTGTACTTTGGCTGTCATAACACTATAAAATCATTAGATTTTCAACAGAAGTCGTTTTCACTGAACCAGTTGAGATACTAATAGTATCTCCCTTCCTAAACCTCTACGTATGCGAGCAGCCAGGAAGTCTTTACTTCTTTCCTGTGTGTGCTACAGTCAGTTGTTCAAAAGTTCTGAGATGTCATGGCACGAAATTTGGTTGTTTTCACACTGTAATAAAATTTGGAATTTCAGTCTTTCAATAAGACTAGATTGTGCTTCTCACTTGCGTGGAAGCTGAAGAAGATTAGTTTACCTTAGTTTCGTAGGTGATAACATGTGATGTGGTACAAGATGGCGTCTCCTCCACCAACATGTAGGGTGTTTGGGCATTAGATGACCTTGTGTGACCCTCACGTCACCCGTGGTACAAGATGGCGTCTCCTCCACCAACATGTAGGGTATTTGGGCATGAGAAGACCTTGTGTGACCTTCATGTCACCTGTGGTACAAGATGGTGTCTCCTCCACCAACATGTAGGGTATTTGGGCATTAGAAGACCTTGTGTGACCCACACGTCGACTGCGGTACAAGGTGGCGTCTCCTCCACCAACATGTAGGGTGTTTGGTCATGAGAAGACCTTGTGTGACCCTCGCGTCACCTGTGGTACAAGGTGGCGTCTCCTCCACCAACATGTAGGGTGTTTGGTCATGAGAAGACCTTGTGTGACCCTCACGTCACCTGTGGTATAAGATTGCGTCTCCTCCACCAACATGTAGGGTATTTGGGCATTAGAAGACCTTGTGTGACCCTCACGTCAACTGTGGTACAAGATGGCGTCTCTTCCACCAACATGTTGGGTGTTTGGGCATGAGAAGACCTTGTTCTCACCTGTGGTACAAGATGGTGTCTCCTCCACCAACATGTAGGGTGTTTGGGCATTAGATGACCTTGTGTGACCCTCGCATTCACCTGTGGTACAAGATGGCATCTCCTCCACCAACATGTAGGGTGTTTGGGCATTAGATGACCTTGTGTGACCCTCACGTCAACTGTGGTACAAGATGGCGTCTCCTCCACCAACATGTATAGTGTTTGGGCATTAGATGACCTTGTGTGACCCTCACGTCAACTGTGGTACAAGATGACGTCTCCTACACCAACATGTAGGGTATTTGGGCATTAGAAGACCTTGTGTGACCCTCACGTCAACTGTGGCATAAGATGGCGTCTCCTCCACCAACACGTAGGGTATTTGGGCATTAGAAGACCTTGTGTGACCCTCACGTCAACTGTGGTACAAGATGGCGTCTCTTCCACCAACATGTTGGGTGTTTGGGCATGAGAAGACCTTGTTCTCACCTGTGGTACAAGATGGCGTCTCCTCCACCAACATGTATAGTGTTTGGGCATTAGATGACCTTGTGTGACCCTCACGTCAACTGTGGTACAAGATGGCATCTCCTACACCAACATGTAGGGTATTTGGGCATTAGAAGACCTTGTGTGACCCTCACGTCAACTGTGGCATAAGATGGCGTCTCCTCCACCAACATGTAGGGTATTTGGGCATTAGAAGACCTTGTGTGACCCTCACGTCAACTGTGGTACAAGATGGCGTCTCTTCCACCAACATGTTGGGTGTTTGGGCATGAGAAGACCTTGTTCTCACCTGTGGTACAAGATGGCGTCTCCTCCACCAACATGTAGGGTGTTTGGGCATTAGATGACCTTGTGGGACCCTTGCGTCACCTGTGGTACAAGATGGCGTCTCCTCCACCAACATGTTGGCTATTTGGGCATTAAAAGACCTTGTGTGACCCTCATGTCACCTATGGTACAAGATGGCATCTCCTCCACCAACATGTAGGGTGTTTGGGCATTAGAAGACCTTGTGTGACCCTCAAGTCACCTGTGGTACAATATGGCGTCTCCTCCATCAACATGTAGGGTGTTTGGGCATAAGAAGACCTTGTGTGACCCTCACGTCACCTTTGGTACAAGATGGTGTCTCCTCCACCAGCATGTAGGGTGTTTGGGCATTAGAAGACCTTGTGTGACCCTCACGTCACCTATGGTACAAGATGGTGTCTCCTCCACCAACATGTAGGGTGTTTGGGCATTGAAAGACTTTATGTGGTCCTCACGTCACCTGCTGGAAGTGCCAATCTGTTTGATGTACAGAGACAGAGGAGTCCGGATACACCCAGTGTGCTTCTCTTCTATGAAATGATATTCTCTAGGTCACTAAATCCTGGACAATGTGAAAAAGGAGGAAAGCAGCCAAGATGAAAGTGGCTGTTCTCACTACGCTCACTTCAGTCGGTGGAAACAAGAGGACAAGGCCTCCCCAGTGTCCCACAGATTGAATCTGTTAAAGGTGTTACCAGATCAGAGATCCATGATCACAGATCTTTCCTCCTGGAGGAAGTCAAAGCCATCCACATTCCCGAAATGGAACTTCTCGTTTGTTCCATCCATTCTTTTTTAAAACACCCATTCAAACTTTTGCCATCTGCCATGTTATTACGAACAACCAAGAAACAGCTTTCCTCTTGTACCATCATAGGTGCTACAAGGTGCAAGACAGGTCATAGGTTAGCGGCAAGTGATCAGGGGAATCATAGCAAGGCCTCCAGTAGTGATATCAGAACCAGAAATGATGTCATAGGCGTCCCAGTCTGGAAGCTCATGTGGAGACGCAATTGGACCGAATATAACAATAGTTCTATGGCATTGTTAAAATATGTGTCTTTTGAGGTAATTTCAGGATTATGTGCACCATAAATTGGTCAAAACAACTACTTTGGTTGTTTGGAACAATTTGGTTCCAAACAATTCGTGATTTGAGGAAGAGACCCAATTTGGATGGGAATAATGAAGTTGGGGTTACTTTTCTATTTAAATATAAATAGACTGTTCGGCATCCAAAGTAATACTAGATGTCAGTACCCATCAATGCATAGTGTATATTCATTTAATCATTTTGTGCCACAAACCAGCTTTCCAGCTACAGTGTCAAAAACCTTTGTCAACTCAACAAAGACACAGTATATAGTCTTTTTGGATATGTTCACAATTTCCACAATTACATCTTGAACAAATGTGCTATCACTTACGGAGAACCCCTTTTGGAGTCCTGCTTGAGCTGGAGTTAAAATATTATTTGATTCTAAAAACTCCCGTCTTCTGTAATATGCTTGTAAAAAGTTTTCCAAAACATCTTAGTCTGTCGCAGATTTATGCGAGTTTGGATCTTAGTGATTAACTTTCTTCTTGTAAATAGGTTTTAAAATCCTGTTAAGTCAACTAACTGGTACGAGTCCAGAGTTTAAAACTAAAGTACAAATTATGGTTAGAAATGGTTCAACAAAGTATAATCCAGAAGTTTTATTTCTTTTAAATTTGAAAATAGATAGGATTTCCTCCGTGAAGATCCGGGTTAGAATAAGTCTTCAGCTACCCATGCTTGCCGTAAAAGGCTCTCACATATCTTGATTACCTATTAACCGTGTTAGTTTCCAGGAATAGGGACTCTCACACATCATCATTACCTATAAACCATAGTTGTTACCAGGAATAGGGACTCTCACACATCATCATTACCTATTAACTGTGTTAGTTACCAGGAATAGGGACTCTCACACATCATCATTACCTATTAACCATAGTTGTTACCAGGAATAGGGACTCTCACACATCATCATTGCCTATTAACCGTGTTAGTTACCAGGAATAGGGACTCTCACACATCATCATTACCTATTAACTGTGTTAGTTACCAGGAATAGGGACTCTCACACATCATCATAACCTATAAACAATAGTTATTACCAGGAATAGGGACTTTTACACATCATCATTACCTATTAACTGTGTTAGTTTCCAGGAATAGGGACTCTCACACATTATCATTACCTATTAACTGTGTTAGTTTCCAGGAATAGGGACTCTCACACATTATCATTACCTATTAACTGTGTTAGTTACCAGGAATAGGGACACTCACACATCATTCTTACTTATTAACCATAGTTGTTACCAGGAATAGGGACTCTCACACATCATCATTACCTATAAACCATAGTAGTTACCAGGAATAGGGACTCTCACACATCATCATTACCTATTAACTGTGTTAGTTACCAGGAATAGGGACTCTCACACATCATCATTACCTATAAACCATAGTAGTTACCAGGAAATAGGGACTCTCACACATCATCATTACCTATTAACTGTGTTAGTTACCAGGAATAGGGACTCTCACACATCATCATTACCTATTAACCATGTTAGTTTCCAGGAATAGGGACTCTCACACATCATCATTACCTATTAACTGTGTTAGTTACCAGGAATAGGGACTCTCACACATCATCATTACCTATAAACCATAGTTATTACCAGGAATAGGGACTTTTACACATCATCATTACCTATTAACTGTGTTAGTTTCCAGGAATAGGGACTCTCACACATTATCATTACCTATTAACTGTGTTAGTTACCAGGAATAGGGACTCTCACACATCATTCTTACTTATTAACCATAGTTGTTACCAGGAATAGGGACTCTCACACATCATCATTACCTATAAACCATAGTAGTTACCAGGAATAGGGACTCTCACACATCATCATTACCTATTAACTGTGTTAGTTACCAGGAATAGGGACTCTCACACATCATCATTACCTATAAACCATAGTAGTTACCAGGAAATAGGGACTCTCACACATCATCATTACCTATTAACCATGTTAGTTTCCAGGAATAGGGACTCTCACACATCATCATTACCTATTAACTGTGTTAGCTACCAG